TGGCAAGTAGAGAAAACGAATTGTTACCCAGTGAAATCGACAGGGAGTGCGGCCCAGATCACTTGTCTCTCAGTTCTGAGAGCACGACACTCGCACACTCCGAGTTAATTAATGCATCCGAATATGCTCCTCTTGCGACCTTCGACGCCCTTGCACTTTCGCTACCGCTTCCTTCGGTCCCCATAAACGTTTCAGACGAGCCTATCAAGGTAGAAGCCGGGAATGGTATTATGGCAGCAGCTTCTGGCGAAGGAGCAGCAAGCGATAGCCGGAATCCACCTTTGACGGACCAGATCTTCACCGTCAAGCAGTTCGGCGCTCCACCAAAACGCAAACCCGCTGCCGAGAGCGACGCCACACCCGTACCTTCACCACAACCGAATCCCCCTCGTCTCGAGGTCTCTAGCTCCATGTCGTCGAAGAAGCGAAAGTCCGCCTCGAATGAGGATACCGTCCCCTTTGATTATGCAAGTGCGGATTCTGTCCTTCGGGGCCGGCCGGCGGACGAGGTGCAGAGTACGTCTCGCAAACCGCAGTTTAATCCATACACAAAGGCCTTGGATGCGCCGCAGGCATTGAGGAAAGCTAAAAAGGACATGGGAGGCGGCAAGTCTTTTACGTTTCAATAGTGGCTGGAGGATCAGGGAGGCCAGGATTTGTTTGTTCCTTTGGAAAGACAAGTGGCTCGGAAAAAGTGCATGGGTATGGAGTTTCAAGCGGGCAAAAGGGAGTTTTGTTTACTCCAGTTTCTTGTCTGTTCTACTGTGTATATCGAGTCTTTATTTTAATAGCAATGAAGCGCATGGCTCACCGGGGACTGGAGCTACTACTCTGTACATCCGAGTCGCAATTGTGTTTCGACGATTTTTCTAGCGCGCAGGCAGGGTATCCAGTCGTCGACTGGCATCAGAGAGAACAATGAATCCGCAGACCTGTCGAAATCTTGCAAAGTTTTAGCTTCCCCCGTTCCCAGTCCTGTATCCCTGCCCTATCCATCCTACATTATTATTAGTCCTGTCGAACTTGTTCTTCTCCCCTGGAGGGGGTGGGGTGGGGGACCCTGTCCTGTCCCGATCATGCAGGTTCCCGGGCGAGGGAAACAAAAAACAATCGAGACCTGCATGATGCAAGGGCGGTCGGATTGAACTTGGGGTATGTAATCATGATAATGGGGGGCTGAATGGAAAGCAAATATGCAGGTACCGCGGACCGGCGTTCGAGATGAGGTTTGGTGACATGCATGAACGGGGGGGCTTGCGGTGGGCGGAGGATTAGGATGATCAGCGGGTATGCAGCATGGGATCCACTGGGCCACAGGGCTTGGGAGGAGAAAAAGGGGGAAAACAAGTGATTGATGTCGACGTTTGGTTTGCGATTGTTGCGGTGGTGATTGTGGTGTTTTGCATCCTAATATAACTACTCCGTACAGAAGGATAGCAAAACAGGACTTGGGATGTGAGTTTTACGGGCGATGGAAGATCGCGGAGAAAAGAGGCAGCGCGTATCGGAATGCAAGAAATCGTATTTTTCGATGGCGGAGGAGGAGCGCATCAAAGGATCGGGTGGTTCGTGCGTTGGAGGCGTTTTCAAGAGATCTCGAGTCCCAATCAATGGCTTTTCATGTGAAAGTTCGTGCTCGAGAGGGGATCTTTTTCTGATCCATCAACAGGGGCAAATATTAGACAGGAGATATGCGGATGATGCTGATCGTGATGAGCTGCGAATATAGTCATCATGTCTGATACTCAACCGTTGAGCGTCGAATGGGCGGCAATTTGCGGATGTGTTTTGGGATCGGTTCTGTTGCAAACTCGGTGCCTGCCCAGAGCCGTCTTGGCCGCAGCAACAGCAGCACAGGGAGCTTGGGGATGCTTTGTCTACAGGGAGAGTCTAGTTGATATTCCAATTCATTGTTCAGAATCTTCAGGTTGAAGGAGACTCATCACAGAGCATCATAGATGATGATGATGCTGATGAATCCTCTTCTGCTCTTGATCAACCGTGGAGATGCCGTGGTTTGTGCTGCCCCAGCTCAGGGGGTGGCAATCCCCCGCTAGCCAGATTATTAGTGGGTTCGACTGATTTGAACACAGTGAATACTCCATCGTTGACGGAAAAAGCGAAGACGGTTCCTGTATTGGTTGCTTGGTAACAAGATAGTAGCGTAGCCAGTTAACTACCGGCTGTCATCTGGATATCTTCTGCAGGAGAGCTGTTCCTGGACCGTGCTCGACCCGAATAAAGGCTTCAGCACCATCAGGCACTCGGGAACACGGCAGCGTGCAGCCAGATCAACAGTCTGGAGCGAACAAGACTCATCGTCCGCACATTAATAAATGCACGGCATCAAGCGGTGAGCCTGAGGGGGAGATCGTCCCGTCACTCGCCGTTTCAAATTTACCGCCATCCCCAAACCAGCTCCAGCGCCCCCTTTTTGGCGTCGTTGGGGCCAACCGTCGTCCCATCACGAGTCCGTCCGCTGCAAGGCTCCAAGCAGCGAACGTTCCCTCTACTCTGCATTCCCCTCTTTTTTTGTTTCCTGGCGTGCATCTCGTCCTTCATCTCTGCTTCCACTGCTCTCTCCTTCCATTGCTCTCGTCCGATCTCCCCATTAGTTATAATTGCATCTCCCCTGATAATCAACCCGTCGGTTTCCGGAAGCCATTGCACCCCATCCTCCAAGCTCCACGCCCGTCGTCACTCCTCGTCGTCCAACCAACCTCCCACCACTGACCCCAAAGCCGCTCAACCTCAACTCACTCCCAGCCCGTCCTACCTTGCCTGCGCGACCCTGCTCCCTCTCACGCTGGTCACCGAGCGGAACTTGCGCCCGTTCCCCCCGACGTTAATCCCTGACGAGCCTCCTTGTCTCGGTTCGACCATCCTATCGCCTTGGCATCGACCTTTTTCCCCCTTCAACGCGTTTTTCTCAACCCCCCCTGTCTTTTCTGGGTTCGCAACGAACACCCTCTATCGAAAGCACCACCCCCCGTCCTCCGTATACGGCGTACACACGGGCGGAGGGGCCAGGAAACAATCCGCGCGCCTTTTCGAGGGGACCAGGGGCGCACAATCCCCACCCCGCATGTCTTAATCCAAACGGCGTTTGTTAGCAAGCCTTTTGCAGTTCGCGCTCCGATGGATAGTCGACCGCAATAGAACAATTAATATGTGCGGTTTTTCTGGTCTTCGTTCAATTTGGCATCCTCCTGCTGCCTGAAAGGTCCCGTTGTTGACTCCCGATGCTAGGGTCCCTGAGTTGCGACTGTGCATAGAGCCCATTGTACAGCCCCCATCGTCGTTCGTTTAACCTACACTCATTTTCCTTCGAAATTAAAAAAGAAAACCACCCACTCGTGCGGATTTTAGTTGTAGGATACATCTGTCGCCTCCCTAAGCTGCAACACTCCAGTCATGTCCGTTGCAACAATGCTCCAACCGGCGTCCCGGGCATCGACTTCCTCTTCTTCTTCCTTTCAACCCATGACGAGACAAAACACAATGTCATCCCACGATGCTCGCTCCATGCGACAATCCAAGCGGATGTCGGTCACGGCTCTGTACCTGTCAATGTCCGCAAAGGACAAGGATCTGGAGATATCAGACGATCTAGCTAAAGGTATGCCCATGGAGGATACTCAATTCCAGCCCAAGCTCTGTTACTGATGTCACACTCCTGTCGTATAGCGCAAAAGGCCTTGCGAGAGTTGAAGTTGAAGATATCTTCACAGTCCAAAAAGAACTTTGTGCTGGAGAAGGATGTACGATATTTGGATTCGAGAATTGCACTGTTAATCCAGAATCGCATGGCACTGGAAGAAGTATGGCCACTTGGTTGTCATTGATGTGATGACGATGCAAACTGACACTGATTATAGCAAAATGAAGTCGCCAGCCACTTAGACGATTCAGCCGAAATTCAAGAGGGCGTCTTTCCAAACGACGATAAAACCCAGAAATACGGAAACCTCTTGTTCCTCCTCCAATCCGAACCGCGTCACATTGCACACCTTTGCCGACTAGTGTCCATGGCAGAGATTGACTCATTACTCCAAACTGTCATGTTTACCATCTATGGTAACCAATACGAAAGTAGAGAAGAACATCTCCTGCTGACCATGTTTCAATCCGTCCTCACATATCAGTTTGACAATACCCCCGAATACTCCTCCCTTCTGCGGCAGAACACCCCAGTGTCACGCATGATGACAACGTACACTCGACGAGGCCCTGGACAGGCTTACTTGAAACAAGTGCTTGCTGAGCAAATCAATTCGCTCATTGAATTGAAGGACGTCGATCTCGAAATCAACCCCCTCAAAGTCTACGAAACCATGGTGAAGCAGATCGAAGAGAATACGGGAACTCTCCCTGACTATCTACCCAAGTCAGTCACTGCGGAAGTAGCAGCCGCAAATGAACAGGTGCAAGCGATTATCGCACCGCGCCTGAAGATGCTGAGCGATATTGCCAGTGCCTTCTTAGGTACGATCATCGAAGGACTTGAAGAGACACCGTATGGTATCCGTTGGATTTGCAAACAGATTAGGAGCCTTTCGAGGCGGAAATATCCCGATGCTCAAGACCACACCATCTGTACCTTGATCGGAGGGTTCTTTTTTCTGCGATTTATCAACCCAGCTATCGTCACTCCACGATCTTACATGCTTATCGATGGAACACCGGCTGAAAAGCCTCGCCGGACACTTACTCTTATCGCAAAAATGTTGCAGAACATTGCGAACAAGCCGTCTTACGCAAAGGAGCCATATATGGCCAAATTACAGCCCTTCATTCACCAGAACAAGGAGCGGGTCCATAAGTTCCTATTGGACCTTTGCGAGGTCCAGGACTTTTACGAGAGTCTAGAAATGGATAACTATGTTGCTCTTTCTAAACGGGACCTCGAGTTGCAGATCACGTTGAATGAAGTTTACGCGACCCATTCCCTTCTTGAGAAACACAGCGCCGCTCTGGTTGCCGACCAGCATTCCCATCTTCACCTTTTGCTCCAGGATCTCGGTCCAGCGCCTGCCCAACTTCCTCGAAAGGAGAATCGTTCCATCAATTTGCCACTATTCAGCAAGTGGGAAACCCCCATAGACGACTTGACCGCGGCTCTGGACATCACGCAAGAAGAGATTTACTTTATGGAAGCAAAATCTACATTTGTCCAGATTCTACGTTCGCTACCGCAAAACTCAGCCGTCACTCGCCGGCCACTTCGTTTGGATCGAATTGCAGAAGCCGCAGCTACTCTAAAGAACGATGCCGTCATGGTGCGAAAGGGAATTCGGACGATGGAGCTGTTGAGCTCGCTTCAGGAACTGGGCGTAATCGACAAATCAGATGATTTCAGCCTTCTTCGAAATGAAGTCGAGCAGGAACTTGTCCATTTGGGCTCGTTGAAGGAAAAGGTCATTGATGAGACGAAGAAACTCGACGAAGTGTATCGCACGATTCGCGATCATAACACGTATCTAGTTGGCCAGTTGGAAACGTACAAATCGTATCTCCATAATGTGAGAAGCCAGTCGGAAGGCAAGCAGCGGAAGCAGCAGAAACACCAGGAGCTCGGGCCGTACAAGTTTACACATCAGCAATTGGAGAAGGAGGGTGTGATTCGCAGGAGTAACGTTCCAGAGAATCGACGAGCGAACATCTACTTCATGTTCAAGAGCCCATTGCCGGGGACGTTTGTCATTAGCTTGCATTACAAAGGTGCGTCATCACTTCTTGTACCGTTTGGTATTTGAGCTGTTTCTAACTTGGATCAGGACGCGCACGTGGCCTTTTGGAACTTGACTTGAAACTCGACGATCTTCTTGAGATGCAGAAAGACAGCCAGGAAGATTTGGATTTGGAATACGTTCAATTTAACGTTTCGAGAGTGCTGGCACTGCTGAATAAACGCTTCGCCCGAAAGAAAGGCTGGTAGATGAGTGCAGTGCTCTGCTTATACTGGTAGTTTGGTGGTTTCTCGGATAGATTTGGAGTTGATTTTACTCTCGACAACGATGAAAAAGGAGGATACTGAGCCTGTCTCAAAAAGGAAGCCCCTTAACTGCAGTGTTTTGCCGTACGAAGTTCTTCAGGTTTGCATACCCATTTGATTTTATATTGATTTCCCGCCTTATATTTTTCCCATTTGCAACCTACGCCCGTGGTTTATGTTTGCCTTTTTCTTTCCATTTTATCCCCCAGACGATGTATTCCCCCGGCTTGCTGGCCCACGTCAGGGGAAATTCCTAATGCTGTAATCTCAATGTCTCTTCGTGTGATCGTTGAGATTCATTCAGTTTATCGTTCCGCTGGTTCGGGCAGAACTGAGAGTGATGTTTTCCCGTCCTGTTCGTATGATTGTGCCGATGATGTCCTCTTTTCTCCGCATGCTGTTTGACTCATTGTATTAATTCCCCTTCCCCCTGTGTGGATGTACCTGGTTTCCTCGTTGATGTTGGACGGTTTGGTGCAGCTTTGAGCGAGTGCTACATTTTTTATATTCGTGCTGTCGAAATGGCGTGATAATAGCTCTCTATATATCTAATACATAGCATATCAGCCGGCCTTGAGTTTCCATGAAATGCCAAAGAATCTCCTGGTTAGCGGTACAGGTCTACCCGGTCTTCCGAGTAAGCTATGTACAGACCTACTTGGTGACTTGGTTGAGTTTTGCCAGCTAAATTGCCCCTCATCAGCTGTAGTCACTTCTTCCACAGAGAAAAAATCCTGGCTCTGACCATCGACTTATCCGTCAAGACCGCGAGAAGAAACACATTCTTCGAAAAGACACTTGAGACTCGGCTAGCTCACTCCAAGCCACCTTTAAATTTAAGCGACCTGCCATCGAACGCCTCCTTTCTTTTTTCCCTGCATCAAAATAAAGACCCACGCCAAACCTCCCCCCAGCAACCAGGGAACTCTTCTCCACGATCACCGCCCCGCTCGCTCTTCACTATCCGCCCAATTCCTCCTCGAAATTCAGCTTCGTTAACCACCAACCCAAACCACTCCCCCCTCTCCAACAAAGCCCAAATTAGAAAAAAAAAAATAGAACAAAAAAGGGAAACAATCTACTCCTATCCTCCTCCGCAAGCCGCCGCGCGCCACACACACACCATGTCAACCACACCCCCTGCCCAGCCTACGAACCCTCTCAAGCTCGACCCCAAATACGACGACTATGACTACCCCACGACGGCTCCCGTAGCTCAGTCAGGCCACCCGGGCCACACGACGCCGGAGCAGGATGCGCAGGTGTCGCAGCTGCGGATGATGTTGGAGGCGTTAGGGTATTCGGAGCGGTTGGATACGTTGACTTTGCTGAGATTTTTGAGGGCGAGGAAGTTTAATGTTGAAGCTGCGAAGGCCATGTGAGTTTCTTTTTCTTTTTTTTTGATTTTTATTTTCTCTTTTTGTTCTGCCTGTTGTTCGGGGGTGGGTGGTAATGGGCTGTTTGTGTTGTGTGGAAGCGCTCTGTTTTCAAAGAGTCGAATTTTGCTGATTTGAGAGGTGTGTTTTGTTAGGTTCGTTGCTTGCGAGCAATGGAGAGCAGAGTTTGGGACGAATACGTTGGTGACGGATTTTCATTATACGGAAAGGGAGCAGCTGTTCCAATACTATCCGCAGTATTATCACAAGACCGATAAGGTACATTTCTGCCTCTCCTTGACACACCCCTGGCTTGAGAAAGATAGCTTATATGGGACATGCCCATGCTAACTGATTCGATTCGCGAAATAGGATGGACGACCCGTTTACATCGAACAGCTTGGCAAAATCGATCTCACGGCCATGTACAAAATCACCACGGGCGACCGCATGCTGAAAAACCTCGTCTGCGAGTATGAAAAACTTGCTGACCCCCGCCTTCCCGCCTGTGCACGCAAATCCGGCCACCTCCTCGAAACATGCTGTACCATCATGGATCTCAAGGGCGTCGGAATTACCAACGCCGGCTCCGTCTTTGGGTACATCAAACAGGCCTCCGCCATCTCGCAAAACTACTACCCCGAACGCCTAGGAAAACTATTCATCATCAATGCACCCTGGGGCTTCAGCACCGTTTTTAGTGTGGTCAAGGGCTTCTTGGACCCCGTGACTGTTAAGAAGATTCATGTTCTGGGGTCCGGATACGAGAGCGAGTTGTTGGCCCATGTCCCGGCGGAAAATTTGCCGAAGCAGTTTGGCGGAACTTGCGAGTGCGCTGGGGGCTGCCCGTGGAGCGATATGGGTCCATGGCGCGAGCCGGAATGGGCTAAACCGCCGAAGTGGGCAAAGGCTGAAGAGAAGACCGAAGTCAAGACCGAAGAGAAGGCTGATGATGATAAGAAGGAGGGAACGGAAAATGCTAATAAGGAGACGGATGCTGCTGCTGCCACTACTGCCGCACCGGCAGATACTACTCCCGCACCGGAGAAGAAAGACCAGGCTCCGGCGTGAAGGTTCAGGTTGAGATTCTGAGGTTCATAGAGTGCCAAATGTGACATTGATCGACCATACATTTATACCGAGAGAGAAATGACAAAGGATATAGGATCGGTCTTTGCGATATAGATAGATTTTTTTTCTCTCCATTTTTTTAACTACTTGTTCCTTCAGCAGCTCTTCTTGCAAAAGCAAAATGCATTTGGTTGCTCTAGCTACGAATGGCTCTCATGGGAGATATTTCCATCAACCCTGTGTTTGCTGCACGCATCTATTACTTTCTACTACCGCATCTCATGGATCGACGATCTCCTCATCGTGATTATATAGCTGTCCCCTCCAAATTGTCCCCCCTCCATCTAACCGGGTGTAAAACGCCAGCGCTCCCAAGAACGCCTCTAGACACCAACTCGCCGTAAAAAACTCGATTCTTCAGAATCCATCGCTCAGACACCCTGTAACCGAGGAAAAAAAAGAAAGGGAAACCCCCAAAGACAAAGGAGACGAAGAAAATTCACATTTTCTCAACAACCTCCGCAGCCCGTCTTGCCCTTTCAACCTTCCCTGCAGTCGCCGCAAGGCCCTTGCTGCTGCCCGCATCTCCATCATCGCCGTCTTTGCTGAGAGTGGCCTCGCCTTGCAGTCGCACTAGCATGCTCAATCCATCTGCGTATGTCTCGCCGATCTCTCCATTGCGCCACCTCTCCCGCTCCCGCTCATTGCCAAACGGTACATCTAATATCCACTCGGGCCGCTGCTGCTGGATACGCGCCCAATCCAACCCCTTCCCATCCGATCCCTGAGCCTCACGAATCAGCGCCTCAAGATCCGCAGCATCGTCCTCTGCTTCTTTATCATCTTCTTCCAGCGCATCTCGCAGCATCTCTGCGTACTTCTTCGCCGCGCTGACCGGTGCATCTCTCCGCAGCTGCGCTACCGTGGTCGTAAGGGATTCCAACTGCGCGTATAAACTTGTGACTCTAGAGGCTAGATGCGCGTCGTACGGTTCGTATTCGACCTGTTCACGTGTGGACAAGAAGTCGGCTAGCTGCGTTTGTTTTGATATCGCTGCGGCGGAGGATGTGTCGAGACCGTTGATGCTGATGGAGGGGATGGCGGATGTGAATGTTTTGGTGATGAAGTCGTCGACGAGTTCGCGGACGCGCGCTTTCATGGGGTCGTCAGCGTCATTGTTGGCGGAGGGGGGGAAGTGGAGGTCTAGTTTCTGGCGGGAGAGGTTGAGGGTGTTGGTGTAGAGGTAGGCGAGGTCGGCGGTGGATTGGAGTTCAATTTTGCGGTGATGGGGGGCTTGCATGGTTCTCTGGTCGCAAGGAGTTGGATCGTCTGGCGTTGTTGCGGCCTGTGTGATTTCGCTGGAGCGCAAGTTCATGATGCGATCTGATAACGCGCTCGAGGGGGCCGTCCTAATTGGGCTTAGCGCCGATTAAGAGAATGCCAAGTCCTATTATGTCATTCGAACTGGAGCGATTCCTTGAGTTCCAGTTTGGCAGTCTAAAGAGTCAGCCACCAGACGAGCGGCCTGGAAGACGCCATCAATTGCTCCTTCTCCTAGTACTCGCAACTTCCTACGCATCGCTATCTGGCTGGGTATGAGCAGTCCATGGCAGGGGCTGAACGATTCAGACTAGCGACCCAACCATGATCATCCAGTGCTCGCCCTATGCTCCATTCAGCAGAGGAAGAAACACGCCCTTTGAAAGTCTGCAACGATGACAGATGCTACGACCATCACCCTTGTTGACAATACCCATCCCGAGATCGATTCTGATATCACCCCAATCCTGAGCTCTTCCTTTAGCAGGCCGCCCAGATCACTGGCAAAGAAATTAACCCGCAATTCGGTCCGGGAGAACCTTGCTCGACGCAAATACGCGAAATGGCAACAGGATCGGTATGATAACCGGCAGAATGAGTGTAGCAGAGAGAGCTCTTTGTCAAGGCGCCAGTCCAGCCAGCGCGAACGGACCACCTCCATCGGACCTTCCAGCACAGCAACTGACGACGCCGAAACGGCTGGTTTAGATGGAGCGTCGACGGCTACGCGAGGTGAACCGCAGAGTGAGATTGATGTTCTATACGAAAACCAGCGAGGCATGTTTTTCTTTGGGATACCCTATTATTCGGAAAAGTCGCTCCTTAATCTGGACCCTACGGCGTGGCTCACAAAGAACTTTGAGATGAGTCCTGTGGATATCACAAATGCACAGCTTCCCGATCCCAGTTGGGAGTGGGATTGGAAAACTTGGTACATTGATATGTCGTACGATGTGGATGAGGAGGGATGGCAGTATTCCTTCTCCTTTGCGTCGAGGTTTGCCTGGCATGGAACTCATCCGTGGTTCCACTCGTTCGTCCGTCGGAGGCGATGGCTAAGGAAAAGAGTGAAGAAAGGAACCAAGGAACTACGGAGGATCATGACCGAGGATCGAAGCCAAGCGTATTCTACTATTGACGAATTCCTAACTTCACGGACTGCTTCTCGCACCCGGGAACCGAGTATCTGTAGAGAGGGTACAAGTCATGTGAGTACGATACAGCAAGACCAAGAGGATGTTATATCGCCGGATGAGATTACAAACCCCGTCACTCTGTTGAAAGCCGTCAAAAGAGCTGCACTTGATAGAGAAAAAATAGAAGCGGTGAAAGCATTTGTGCATATGGGAGGCGAAGAGTTGGCCTACTTAGAAGAAACGGTAAGCAAGCCGCATCTGTGCTTGGGTAAAAGGCTTATTGTCCTAACCACCTAATAGTTACCAGAAATTTTGTCACTGCTTCTTTTTCATACCTCCAGGCGTCAGCTCGCTGATTTCCTTCTCAGCGCAATCGAAGAAATACCTGAGGACACGAAGGACGAAAAAGCACAAAGGAGGCGGAGTAATCTTGTCAAAGCTGTCGGTGCCACATACCGCCAGTATAAAGGCCTTGAATTCTGGGGCGATGTCGGCTCTGAGATTGCTGCAGTGAAAGGAAAGGCGCCTGTGTGTGGCTCACTTTCATAGATTGAGACTCCATAGACAAATCAAATTCTGCCCTTGTGCAAAGCACCAATAGCCCAAATTCCTAGCTACGGTAGAGATCAACAGTGGGAATCTTATCCTCAACTGCTACAAGGCGATGTCAACAATGTAACCCATATCGCTACCCAAGTGTGATTATGTAAGCTTTTTTCTCACTTTGGGGCAAACCACTTTTTTGGACCTCAGCACGAACGCTGGGAGTCAACAAACCCCAATCCTCCTCACTCCCGCCCTCCATGCTATCAGGCAGTCGCTACTGCCTGAGAACCGGAATATCTACGTCGTCCGTCTCCGAAAAACTCGTTGTCGCCGGCAATGAACCCTTACTCTTCCTCTACCCCCGTTTTTTCTCATCCCAATTCGATGGCTCCCGTCCGAAGCCGTCAACGGGCGCTTCAATCCAGGCATTGGGGGTCAGGAGGCGGCCGAAGCTGCTAAGCAAAGATAATCTAAGGTATCTTAAGCGCGAAGCACCGTCGAGACGTTCGTCACAGCTTGCGGTTTCGCGCTGCTGTTCGGAGTCGGAGAATGGAGCTCTCCCGGTTAGCCCTCGAAAGAAAGTCTGGGGTCAGTTCTCGCGTCCGACCAAAAATACTAAATCGCATACGCCTCGGGATGAAAGCGACTCGGCAAATGTGCCCGGGGAGAAGGGTTTAACCGACTCAGCTTACGACATTGACGGCCAGCATACTCCTTCTGCCTGCAGACGGTTGGCCTACACCGGGACTCGACATGCGAATGATTTACCAATTGATTATAAACAAACTACTGCTGGGCCTAAGAAGACATCTCCTTGGAACGCATTTGGCAAGCGTGCGGAGTCGTTACACAATGGCGACCTGGTTCAGGAGCGATATACGCGTGGAGAAAAAGAGATGGCAATGTCACACGAAGCGTATGCCCTCGGAAAGGAGGATAAAAGCAATTCCCAATTGGATAGCGGATTCAAACGTGGCGACTGGCACGGTGTTGAGCCTGCCAGTGAATACCAAGGAAATCGCATATCGGTTAACAGAAAAGGCTCAACCAAAAAGGTATATAGTAGAGGGGCCTTTAGCGAACAATCAGCTGAGTCAAATGCTGCTCAAATCGAGCAGCAAGAAGCTTCAGATTTGGGGAGGGCAGGCAGCGGGTTTGAAAGATCGTCATATGAAGTGCCTAACCCCGGAAACAAAAGGCCGCTTGTGCAGAGAGTCATACACTCTAAATGGGCACCGAGCGGATCACAATCTTCGAAAAACGTGGCCGAGTCGAAATCTAAAGGTATAGCCCTCAAAAGCTTGAGAGGAAATCAAAACCACAATGTTACTGAACGCCGAGTCAATCGATACAATTCTACTTCAAAAAGTAAGACTCCCGAATGCAGGATTACCAGTCTCTCGACTCGTCAAAGAAAATCCATCGGTGCGGCTTCTTCTCAACTGGTTGATTCCGATGCCACCAACGAGGTCCCTGAATCCACCGAATCAGGCCATAAGCGGTCCCACTGGCTACGGATCGTGGATATATTGAAGCACCGCCGCAATAAAGAGCCAGAATTTGACCTGGCGGAGTTCAAGCAGTACCTGCAAGTGATGACTGTGCTTCTCAGGTTAATGAGAAATACGACAGAGTATTCAACTGAGAAATTTGAATGCCACAAAGTCATCCAATTACAGGAGCATGAAGTCGTTTACTTAACCGGTGACGACGCGGAAACCTCTTGGGACATTCCCGTGGTCAGCGGTTGTCGAGTTCATGTGCTTCCTAGGGAGGATGATGATTTTGGCAGCACGCGCAACGTTCTTCTATTAGGCTCATCAAAAGCCATCAAACTGGCTGAGGAGCAGTTACAAGAAGAATTGAAGCATACACATCGTCCGGGCCTTCCACCGTTTGCTCGTGAGGGCGACAATTCTAAGACTCCACTTATCCGTTCCATTTGGGCTTTCCGAAGAATGCGGACTGCAGAAGGCGAGATCGAACGGGCCATGCGAACTGAAGGCGTCTGGATTAATCAAACATGGCAGGACGCACGAGTTGACGACTATCCGATGCCAAAGGTCTGGACGGTTCGAAGCTTTGCAGATTATGTGGAAACGGTAACCTGCTTCTTCAACACTAAAGCTCCGCAGCGCGTTGTGTACCCTAATGGAGATATTCACGAGATCGTTGTCAGAGATATTCTGTTTCGACTATTTGATAATCCGGACAATCGAAAGTATTTCTCGTCACGGGCTCTGAGTCTTGCGATGTCATACCTTCACCATCATAGATTTTTTGATGACACGCGGGCACTAATACCAATTCTTGAAGAGTTTTTGACGAGACGAAGCGCTAAAAGATTGCTCCAGTCCGCTGCCTCTAACTACAATATGGGCTTCTTCAAGCTCTATCTGGAGATGTTTGAAAAATCTAAAATTCCGCCAGATGAATACTATTGGATTGCTTTTCTTCAGTCGATAAGATCCAATATAATGAGAACATATTTTTGCGATCTGATCCACAACCTAGGAGCAATGAAAAAACCGGATGTGGTCAATTATGCTGTGAACATCACGATCAACCACAGATTTCGAACCCATTTGAGCAATGGAGGCAGCGGGGCAGACTTCGTCAAAGCAATGAATCTAAAATTCGGAGACAACTGGGTATCAATCGCTGCGATTAACAAGATAATATTGGAGACTACTCTAGCAAGCAATCTGGATGCGCGCAACGATATACTAAAATTTTGCTGGGAAAAACAGCTCAAACTAGACACGATGACGCTAAACAATGCACTTCTTTATTATGTGGAATCGAAACATATCATGTCGGGGCTCAATTTTTTCGCAAAATTTATCAAAGTATATCGGGTGAAAATGAATGGTTTGACCTGGCAGTTGCTCTGGTTTTTGGGCTTGCGGCGGAGGTCATATAGTCTTTGTCGAGTGATTTGGAGATACGCTTGTTTCCTCAACGGCACGACCGGCGGAATTATAAAAACAGTTCGCGACAGTCTTGCTCGACCTCTAAAGCTAGACGGCCATTTGACTGTCGGAGAACGATGGATAATGTATCTTGGAAAGATCGTGATCGGAATCATTCCCCATAAACCGAGACCATCTGACGAACATACTACCGACCTAAAGGAATTATATGCAGAAACCGAAGTCGACTCAAACGAAGCATATCCTGTCGATCCTAAGGACGCGACCGTGGACCATCTATGCACAGATTCAAAGACTGGCCCGCCATTGGAATGGCGCGTGGCAGCCGCAGATGAATTGGTGGAAAAAGACCTACAGGCACGTCGAACCCATAAACCGTGCATAGCCCTGGAGGAAATCCTCCTGCGAGCTCTTAATCGAGACCTGTTTTGGAGCAAGAGCAGCAAAGACGTTCATCTCCAACGAGAGGCTGCGCTCCCTGTCCCGATAGAGCCTAAATACCAAAGTGGATTGACAGAGGTGGAGGAGAAGATGATCCAGGAGGAAATTGAAGCGGTTTTTAAACGGTCGGAATTTGAGGAATCGCTCAGCTTCGATGATGATTTGGATGATTTCCCGGATCTACAGTATAAGCTTGTGCCTTCCGGCCCCGAGTAAACGGAGCATTGGAAAATAGGATCGCCCCAGCTCGCTTCATCAACATGTTCACGTTAGGCGCACCGAGCCTAGCCGGAAAGAAAGCCATTACCCTATCCTCTTCCGACAGCGGCTGTTGCTTGTGGATGTTATCCCGATTGAATTATTATCAGGCGCATTAACTTAGCGGGCGTAAGGAAAAGAGCATTTTTGTATCAATATCCCTTGGACATATGTATTATCTTGGCTAAAGAGCCACACTGAATGGCTAATATCAAATCTACTTATAAAAAGGGAGATGAGCGTTGTCAGAGAGCTGTTCTTCGAAAGGGGTATCGCGATAGTCGGCGAAATTCCAAGCTCGTCAAATAATGTAGTCTCTACCTCTTAGTCAGGCCTCTAGCATAATCATCTAAGGCTAAAGGCTCAGAGCAATCTAATATATTAGATATATAGTACATACCTCGATTCGTTGGCCATGATATACAGTTGCCCGCTGCGATTTGATAGTACAGTCAACGGCGTAGGGTTTATATGCGTGGCCCTCATTGATCATGGTCCATTGAGTTTTATCAGATATTATGCCTTGCTAGGTATTCACCATCTTCATGCAGTGGTAATCCGTCATCATCTTCTCCTGCTACCGGTGGGGGGTGCGGACAGCCGTATGCGTCCAACAAGCTGACTCCCTCCTTCAAGTAAAGGACCAAGCGAAACGCGGAGTTCCCATTGAGATAATATCTATGTAGTTGCTTGCTGCGGAGGAAACCGAGACGTTCATATAGTTTCATGGCGGGAGTGTTTGTAGTCTCTGTCTCCAGAACGATCTAGGTCGAGCAGGGGGAAAAAAAGAGGGTTAGCCGGCGAAGAGGATGGCGGGGAGAAACGTAGAGGGGGGGGGGAGGAAGAAACGGACTTCGTCTGCGTTCCGTTCGATCATGGCGTCAATGGCCATGCAGACTAATTTCGTCGCGATTCCTTGTCCGCGATATTTTTCTGGCACGGCGAGCATGGCGATGTATCCGCGTAATGGCACGCCACGGTGAGGTTCGAGCTTGGATATCACCACTCCGGCAAGCTCGTTGTTTTGGTCCATGGCCTGTAGATATTTGCCAAAAGTCCATATCGTCAGCAGTGCTCCGTTTCTTCAAAGACGCTCGATCGCATGGCTCCGGGGATGTTCTCGAGACCAACCATATAGCAGAGACTACCCCATTGGTAGAGGAAATACCGGTAGACATAGATACTGTAAGGCTCAGAGAGGACTTTGGAGATCAATTGCCGCATAGCAGGGACATATTCGTTTTCCCTTTTGTTGTCATATTGGATGTAGCGGAATTGCGGCGATGCGGTCTCGCCAGCGACTTTTGTGGCCGAGGGCGGGCTGGGATCGGTCATTGCGGGTCATGGAGCTCGGTGGGATGGAGGTTCTGCGTTAATTGAGATGGTTGCTCATAGTGAGAGGCGATGGATACGGAGAATTGACGGCATAAATCTCGTGGTAACTAGGTTGATGGTGGATTTCTGCTGGTTGCTGATGGAATGCGGACTATTATTCTGGAGGAATTTGGGCTGGAGTTGCTGCAGGGATGACGGTGGGCTAGAGATCACTTTCTTTACAGAATGAACTAATAGATAAACAACAGAATACCTATCAAAGCCAATTGCAGTCTGTTGCTGTTTATGTTATATCAACTAATGCACAATACCAATGGCGTCTCCTGGCTATCGAAGCTTGTCACTGGAGCTCTCTCATCCCAGAGCTTCATCGTACGAAGCCCCTCCCCCGCATGTCGCCTGTAGAACAGGACTCAAAAATAACTCAGCGCCGGCACTTACAGCAATCAGCCATAAACTGGATATAAATTTGACCGGCTTTTACGGGGCGGTTAGGTATGATTGTATATAGACTCAAAGCGTCCTCTATCTTAACCACAGCGGCAGATCTCATTCATATATATGGGCAGCCAAACGGATATATATACACAAATTACATACCCACCAGATCCTGATGATGTGCAGCAATCATCATAACTTCACAATGCATAGCTACAGACCATCACCAGCATTTTTCCTGGTTTCTCAGTTCCTGGCAGCTGATATCAATGCCGAGGGCCAGAAAAAAGTAAACCCCGTTGCCCCGCGCTCAGTCTCTCCACTCCACGACAACCGTGGGTTGTGTGCCAGACTCACCTGGGGGGGAATGGAGATTGGTTCGTGACGGGGCACTGACTATATAGTATTTACCACCAGCAGCTCCCGGAATCCTCAACTGACCATCATTGCCGTGGGTTTCACAAGAGTTTCCATATCCACCCTTGCAGTTTGTTCGCTCGAAGGAGGCACTCGAACGGAATCAACCATCTTCTCTAAACGGCAAAGAGATCTTTGGCGGTCGATAGAGAAGGCTAAAGAGGTTTGTATTCGAGATGGCCACTAAAGATACCATGAAGGCAGTGGTCTTCAAAGGCCCCTACAAGGTCGAGCTGGAGGATCGACCAATCCCGAAAATCCAGGACCCGAAAGATATCATTGTCAAGGTCACCTATACAGCACTTTGCGGCAGGTATGTTGGACTTCCATTGACATGAGAAACCATTTCTCAACGTATACATCCTTATCTGGTTGAACTGGGTATATAGCTCCATGTGCTAATGCGATCTAGTGAGCTTCATGTCTTCCGTGGCCACCAGCCCTCGAGCACGGGATTCATTATGGGCCACGAGTATACAGGCGTCGTGTCGGAAGTCGGGAGTGATGTCAAAACCGTGAAACCAGGAGACAAAATTGTCAGCCCTTTTACGTCTTCATGGTACGCTCCTCTGTGGAAATTCGGAAAATATTAAGGCTTCCTAACCAGGATTGCGAATACAGCGGAGAGTGTTTTTATTGCAGAAAAGGGTTTTCTTCAAGATGTGAAAAGAGTCAATTATTAGGCTCCGCAGCCCTGGACGGCGGCCAAGCTGAATATGTGAGCTGGGTTTAACCATATAAGCGATGTGGGACCATCATGAATACCTATACTAATATGATTTTCACAGGTACGCATGCCAAATGCAGATGGCACTGTCATGAGAGCTCCGGAAGGGATCAACGAGCATGCCCTAGTTTTGATGGCCGATATATTCCCTACCGGTTATTTCGCAGCCAGCAACGCCTTCAAGGAATTTACCAGAGAGGAGGTTTCCGAATTGACGGTCGTTGTGATCGGATGCGGCCCCGTTGGGCTCTGTGCTCTTATAAACGCGGAGGACTACAAGCCAAAGCATCTTCTCGCAGTTGACTCCGTTCCCTCAAGGCTCGAACTGGCCAGGTCCCTAGGCGCGGAGCCATGGAATTATCAAACTGACCGGGACGGCTTGGACAAGCGAGTCAAAGAACTGACAGCGGGTCGGGGGGCAGATGTCGTGATTGAAGTTGTCGGATTAAGCCCGGCCTTGAAGATGGGTTTTGACTTGCTTCGACCGTGGGGCACAATCAGCAGCGTTGGAGTCCACAACGGAGAGGTGAGCGTGCAACATGATTAACCGGCTGATTCGAAACTAAAGAAGCGCTAGATCCCGTGGACGGGCAATCAGGCATACGGAAAGAACCTGAAAGTTCAAATGGGCCGATGCCCTGTGAGATCAATCTTCCCAGGGGCTCTTGAGATGTTGAAGAAAAAGCAACATTTGCTCGGGTGAGGACGAATGCCCTTAGTACTCGATTGTCTATAGGCGACTAACATGGTTGGAGCAGATTTATGGCCGACAAGATCATGCCGTTGAGCCAGGCCGTCGAGGGTTATGAGATTTTTGACAAAATGCAAGTCCAGAAAGTCATTTTTGATGCCAGGCAATAGTGACAGAGATGTGGACGGTTGATCAGGTCAGGCATCCATCATCAATGTATGGTATCAAGTCCAGAGACAAAGGGAGGGCCACGACCTACCTAGCGAAGGAGTCTGCTAATACAAGAAGAATTGATGAAACCCACATCCACATGCGCGCAAGCTTTCCATCATTTCATCCAATATTAACTCTGCCTGTTTCCTCTCTCGTAGACTTTGATCCCAACAAACTAAAGGAGCACCAGACAGAAAGCCAGTGCCTGAAAGGAATCAAGGCCTGAGATAAAGAGAAATAGCCCATAGAGGTATCACAATGAATGGGCCTTTCGAGTCTCGACAAAGAACCAGGCAAGTCGCAATAGCAGCGTAATGAACGGATAGGCTTCGACAAGATGTCTGGCTTTCTCCAGGCTGTATCAGATTCACCCCTAGTGTGCATCTCGGGCTCCCAGGCGATTTTGTGGGAGCGTGGAGTTACAATACAGTACCTGCGTGTATTAGTCATTGTCGCCCTGGAAGAGACTCCGATTGGTGTATTTGTTGGGACAGCCTTTGCTAGTGTAATTAAACCCAAGCTGCAGCCAATCAGCACGCCGAGGCGGTTCTTCCGTCGGTCACAAAACCAGCAGCGTATCCTGTGGGTGATGACTGCCTTCAACAAACGCACAGCAACAAGACGCTCTCCTTCGCCTTCTTCACTTCCCATCCCACCACCACCACCACCTCTCCTCCTCCTTCGCACTTCTGCCCTTTCCCCCCCTCCCTTCGAACCCGTCCTTCTCATCTTCCTCCTCCTCCCACATCCTCTCTCTCTCTTCTCTACTCTTCGCCCCCTTCACCTTGTTCCCACACATTCTCCACACCCTCGAATTCCTCACTCTCACCGACTTCTTCGCCGCAGAACCCTCATATCTACTTCTTCCTTGATCATCCGCCACTCTCCATCTCACATCTTCTACTACGCCTTTGCCGCAGAGTACCTTACTCTAGTCGCTTGTAGGTTGCGCTGAAACCTCACATCCTATGCCAGACAGCCAGAACTAATGCCTAAGCTCTAGAACTTGCATTGCAATTCCCGGCACTCCCAAAAATAAAACGATCCCATCACCAGGATAACCTTAGAGCAGACTTTGTGCTACGTGTTTGTCTTTCGAAAAGTCTAGTACTCAATATCGATCAACATGTCGTCACCCGAACAGCAACAAGCCGCTGGCTCGCCCGGCCACGATGACGGCCTCTCTGAATCCTTTAACCGCGTCAATCTAAACGAACAAGGCGAAGAAATCACTCCAAAGACTGAAGAAGAATACGCTCAGTCTATGTTGACCCTTCGTGCTATCGTTTCATCCAAGGAAGCTGGTGTCATTATCGGCAAGGCTGGCAAAAATGTTGCGGACCTCAGGGACGAAACTGGTGTCAAAGCCGGCGTAAGCAAGGTTGTGCAGGGTGTGCATGATCGAGTCTTGACTGTCACGGGGCCTCTCCAGGGTACTGCCAAAGCCTACGGAATGGTTGCCAAGAGTTTACTCGAAGGTGCACCCCAGGTTGGAATGGGTGGAATCATTCAAAACAATGGCACTCACCGTAAGTATACCTGTTTCCGATCTACTTCTGTAGATCGTCGAGTTGAGCCGCATCTAGCCTTCTCCATTTCCTGGTGCTGATGTGGCGCGCTTGGGTTACCATGCTAACTATTTGATCTCTAATAGCTGTCCGTCTTCTTATCTCCCATAACCAGATGGGAACCATCATCGGTCGGCAAGGCTTGAAGATCAAATACATCCAAGATGCTTCCGGAGTGCGTATGGTTGCTCAGAAAGAAATGCTCCCACAATCCACCGAACGCATCGTCGAGGTTCAAGGGACACCAGAAGGCATCGAAAAGGCCGTCTGGGAAATCGGCAAGTGCCTCATTGATGACTGGCAGCGTGGAACGGGAACTGTCCTTTATAATCCTGCTGTCAGGGCCAATGTGGGTGGTGGACAAATGAATAGCTCTTTCCTTGGACCTAACCCCAACTACGGTGGACGATCTTACAATCGCACCGGAAATGGAGCCGACTTCAGTGATCAACCTTCCAGTGGTTACAACCGACGCCACAATTCAGATGCACCAAATCGTGGAATCCCACTCGTCACCGAGGACGGTGAAGAAGTCCAGACTCAAAACATCAGTATCCCCTCCGACATGGTGGGGTGTATTATTGGTAGAGGTGGAAGCAAGATCAGTGAGATCCGAAGAAGCTCCGGTGCCCGTATTTCGATCGCGAAAGCCTCGCACGATGAGACTGGTGAACGTATGTTTACCATCATGGGTAGCGCCCAAGCTAATGAGAAAGCCCTCTACCTTCTTTACGAAAACCTCGAAGCCGAAAAGATGCGACGTAGCCAACAGCCCCAGGAGTGAAAGCCACCTATCGATCTCCATCGGAATTAAACGGGGCCATGGAGCTTTTGGACCAGCAAGCATACATCCGAGCGTTACGGTGTTTGTGAGCCGTTAAATTGATACAAGTACCACGTCCCACGATCTATGGTCAACAATCTCTCATATTTCGTGATTTGCGCGGTTTACAGTTGCTTGGTTTGCGTGGAACGCGGCGTCATATTATTAACAAATATCCATTTACTGGGTATTAATATGGATTTCACGTCATTCGGCCCAACTCGCTTCGCACCATGCGCTCCGTTACACTCCAATTCATCTTCTCGCCCACAGACATTACACTGCCACTCCTTCTGTCTCTTCGCCGAGTTCCTCTTTATCACAATGCATCTCTTACTTTCTAAAACAAACAAAAAAGCCTGTCCGCACCCCCCGCCCACATTTTATTCGGGGCCGCCCGTTCGGCCCTTTGACCTGTTACCGCTTTATCACAAGTTATCCGTTATAATATGCCATTAACCCGATTTCCAGACCCTGCCATATCTTGATACGCTGACCAGGATTTGGTACTCGCTACCCACCCCCTGCTCTTCACTCCTTCCCCCACCATCTCGCGTTTCGTACCCAACCAGTCTACCCTACATGGATCTATCAATCCCTAATATACCGATTAGTGCACATCGGTAGGGCTGATGGCATGATGTGGATATTCTCACAAAAAGTCCGCGAACTACTAAATTGCTCACACTCAAATCCTTTTATCCTTCTATGGCCATCGCGTATGATATTCTAGTTCAAAACAATTAGCTAGCTCTAAGAATGGAACAGGTCGGCCTCAGGGCTTATATTCAGCTAATATCTCGCATATCTATAAGTGTGTGTATGTACATTGAAACCTACAACGTTTCCAAGCGAACTTTGCAACGTATTACAGTAAACAACAACAAAATGTGTGTTAGAAGAGAAGATCGGGGACCGTTGCATCCCAATCCAAGTCATCAAGCCAGCTCAAAAATTTCTCGCTTGTGAGTTGATTATCAATGTCAATGCCTATTTCTGGAACTTCACCTGGAATAAGTAGTGCAGGCTGCTCTGAAAGATGTGTATTCTGCTGCCGAACCAGTTGCTCCTCTTGAGGACGAGTCGTATCCCGTCCGTCGTCACACTCGCCGGAAACGGCCGCGGTAGGGCCCCCGACCAAATTCCTCCCTGCGCCTTCAATCTGGCCCACGGAATGTAGCTGTTGGAACGATGGTAGTTGCTGCCCCTGTCCCAACTGCTGTTGCGGTTGCTGCTGCTGGTGGTGCGGCTGCAGGTGCTGATTTGTGGGCTGATAATTAAGGGTGTCGTCCAACAGTCTGCTCAGGACCTTTGTGATTTCGACGCAGACGCGTGTGGAGGGGGTGGATGGGAGGGCGGTGGTTTCGCACCAGGAGATGAGCATGTTGAGGTCGCGGATTATTTGGGAGCGGGGAGGGGTTGATGAGGGCCAGGGGGTGGAGGAGAGGGTGGATTGGTAGAGTTCGCTGGCGAGAACGCCGGCGGCGGGGAGGCCGTAGAAGAGGAACTAGGGAGTGAGAAAAGGTGTAAGTGAAGAAGTACGTGAGGGGGGAGGGATGAGGGACGGGATGGAAAACGTACGATCCAGGAGAAATTGGTTTGCATTTCCGGGGTGTGGGTCGGGCTGTTTGAGGAGGTGGAGGGCGGTGGAGAGGAGCTGGACAGAGGTGTTGAGAAGAGAGGAGTTTTCGGCGACGTTTTGCTGACAGAGGATGCGTTGGATTTGGAACAGGCTGTGAAGGTATTCAAGGTAGATGACTAGCATAGCGATACAGGCGATAGGCTCTATAGTTTTCCAACAACTTATATCGTAGCGGAACTGATTGGGAACACTAGCCCAGAGGTTCTGGCACTCTTCGCGGTTTTTGCTTTGGAATATAGTCAGTTTTTAATCTGAAAACTTCTTTTTTTGGGAGGGAACTTACTAGAGAACTTCCACGTAATTATCTGGCTTTCGTCCTAGAGAAAGTTCGAGGATCTTTTCTCGTTGAACCGCTATAATGTAGCGGAGCCTGAGGATGCTTGCTGGGCGGAATCGCCCTTCCTGTGTTCTTTCCAAATTCCAGCCATCCGCGTCGAGATTTTCAAGCGCCGCCGTAAGCGCATCACCGGTTAACATCAAGCTTTCGTCATCTAGGTCCAGAGGAAGGGTTATATCACAGTAAAGGAGCTGAACCCTTGGAGGCCGGCCCAGGAATGTGGCGAGATTTTTATCCGAGCGATATGCTGCCGAGAATATCCTCTTGCGAGTTTGAGAAAGGAAAAAAGGGATCCCGGGTCCGGGAGGCTGTTGACGGTGGTATCCCATTGCAAACATGTCAGATACTAGTGTCCCAAACCCTCTATAGACGATATAGCCTAATTCGAAATTAGCATAACTCGAACGAAGATGGGCTTTCGGGAGATTCATACTTGTCTCGTCAAGGACCATTGAAGTGAGAACACAATGCGTATGCTCCAACCATATCATAAGATCATTGATCTTTTCATGCTGTCGACATATCTCAATTATATCGTTGCTGGCAGCCACCATTTGAGTCGCAAAAGACTGCTTCGTGAGCGGTTCTCCGTCCCCAAAACGGATCGTCGGGTTGTCAACAGGGGGATTTAATCCACTGACCACACTCAACCCGGCCATGACGAAAATAACCCCTATAAACTCCCATCTCAGATTCTCACCGGTGAATGACTGGTAAAACTCTTCTGCCGTCGCTGTGTCCGAGACTTGGAGCGGCTTGGCCGTATTCTGACTGATCTTTCGGTACAGGTTTTTCTGCTTTGGATTGGACAAGTCTTCACCCTCCAGATGCTTCCGGGTAAAACGAAGCGCGTCCAAGATCAACGGAGCAGGGATGACGGTAAACAAGCCGGGCTCATAGTAGATTTCAATGAGCTTCTCGAAGAGATCGAAAGCAGAAAGCAGCCTAAAAAGCTGGGACTGGAGGGAGAGATGCTTGTTTTGCCAGCGTGCTAGCTCCGGTGGCAATGGCTGAATACCGAGATTCGAGAGCTGGGGAGCAGTGTCATGGAAGACCGAAAGAAAGCTCGTCGAACCCAGATAGGCATTGTGGCTGATCGTTGCCCCAGACTCTAGGTTGCTGTTGGGAGGGGAAAGAAGCGATGCGCCGATGGATTCTCCCCGGTTTGTCTGAGCGGGTGAGTCTGTCCGTGGAGTCGACCTTTTGCGCTTGCTTGGCCGCTCTTGCGTCCCTTCGTTACCAGGTGCTGGTTTTGTCTGCTTGGTCAATGGCGCTGGATGATAGTAGCACTGGTCATTGGTCAACAGCCATATCCGAAAAAGCACATATCTGGGGGGAAGCCTTGCCTTGGACACAATTCCACGAGTTTCGCATCTTTTACAAATGGGAACGGTATGGTCACATTTGACCTTAGAGATGCGACAGGGCTCGCACGAATGCGGTTTGCCATTGCGCCGAAGCAATGGTGGTGCGGGCCTCTCACCCAACTCGTGCATTGGGAGCGCAAACTCAAGCAGCATCAATCCGGTCACATCAAGGGCCCAGCGAATTACACAGGCAAAGAGTCAATCTTCCGTTCAAGGGGGCTTCGGCCATCCGGTGTCTGCAATGACTGAACCTGGGGTTCGGATGGAAGCTTTTGGTTGCGAGCCAAGCGAAGCTAAAGCAGCGGCCATGCAAGGATTAGACACCCGGACAGGCTCTCTCCTTGAGCTGCTTGAATGGGCTCGACAGTTCCGCAATGCCCAGTCCAAGAGTATCAGAGAGTCAAGGGTTGCTTGCCGCTTCGCTGGGGAGAATCGCGCATTTTGAGTCTCTGGGCGGGCGGGGGCTTATCAATCTTATCAATCAGCGTAATGGCTTGGCACGTGCTTATGTCAGCCTTGGCGTTATCCAATATTCCATTGAATTAATTATTAAATTAAATCGATATTATTTTGCGGCAGTCAATATGATAGATACAACGTCCTCGTAAACTAACGCCTCACAAAAGTTACATGTTGCAAACCGATAAGCCATACATGATACACTTGCCCTGTTCAGCCTTCAGCGCAATATAGGTGTTCGGATTCGCTGGATGCGAAACGGTGCGTTCTCAGGGCTCGTTACTTCGAAATTCACAATCAGCTCGAACTTGGGAATGTTTGTCATCACTGCCATCGATGGCAGCACGTATCGCTCCAGCAGGTATGCGCAGTAATCACCCCCTGTCAGCACGTCCTTGAGAAAGGAGATCCGGATATCGCGAAGACGAGGGAGCCTCGAGAATGACCGCACGGCCACCGCCCACGTATCTTCGTTGAAGACTTCTTCGAGGCCATCACATTGGAGGGAGCAAGTGATTGCGAAACGGATGTCGATCCAGATAGAACGAACCGAATCCATGCGTTGGCTTGGGGTGCCCACAAACATCTTGTCCACGCCTACCGGAGTGAACGCCTTGAATGTAGCCTCTGCATAAAACACTTCGATGGCCTCTGTGTAGCTGTGGTTCATTCTGTTAGCGTGGGAACCGTTTGGCGCGAAAAAAATTATTAAAGAAAAAAATAAAGAGGAATGCACTCGTACATTTGGCGACACGTCTGGAGCAATGCGATTGGAACAATATCCGCCCACCGTATTCGCTGCGGGACATGGTGCTGCTGCTGGTGATGGTAACCGTGATTGTGTTGATGTCCTCCCCCGTGCCAGTCGATCTGCCTCACCACGGAAGGTCTTTTTACAGCCCTTCCGCCAAAGGCATAGGAGTATATCTGCCTGCGTAATTCCAGCGGCAATCTAAAGAAAACCGACTCAGTCTGTGGCTGATAGTCTTGCCGCCGTTGGTGCTGGGACTTTTTCCGCCGATGGACAGGCAGTGGCCTGTTGTCTGGCAGTGGAAGGGTCAAGGGATGCCTCAGTTTCCGTCCCTTGGTGCCCGTCCGGCGTCGCGAATATTCCTTGAAAACCCCATAGAGACTCAGGTAATGCAATGCCGATTTGAGGGAGCTGAGCATGGTTTGGATGAAGCCGGTGAGGTCGCCACAGAGCGGACTTCCATCGTCGTCGAGGTTTTCCCCGCAGCTTCTTATATCCTGATATCGCACCACGCTTCCCCCTTTTAATCACGCGGCACGAGCTGGGAGCTTCCCTGGCTGGTCACACAGCCACATCCAGGCGATCACCGGCGCGGCCATGCTCTCTCATTGGAACGGCGGGCTTCTTCCGGGGAGATTCGCGTGGGAAGGCAGAGCTGAAATTGGGGCAATTATTTTTCAGGGTTTCTGGCAGGCTTTCCATGATGCCGAACTGCACTGTTCCGTTTCAGGTCAAAATCAAGCAACCCTGCTCACTGGAAACGATTGAAACTAAAGGCGGCTAAGGGGCTTGGAATCGAAGCTTGGTTATTTAACTATGAAGGAGTCCGGCATCTCGTCTTTCTTCGCTCGTAGCGAGTAAATCCTGCTCTACTCATTAATCCTTCACATGCTCCTGTTTCACGCTTGGATACAGCACCAAGAGCAACACGCTACATTCGCCAATTTGATGAGACCTTGAATACATCTGTGACACGGTGATACATTTAACCATTGATGAGCTGATAGAATAGGATTGATTCAGACAACTCATGCTAAAGTCTACAGGTCGATATCAACATCTGAACTCCCGATTCACGGCCCCTCCGCTTTCTTGACCGCCTCGAAAATATCAACAAATGCTTCAGCATTCTCTGCGCCGCCAAGCTGATATTTCCCTTGGATAGTGAAATTAGGCACTCCAGATATAAACGACCGCTGAGCGCTCCTGACCTCACTATCAACTTCTGCACCCCCCTGGTCGCTTTCAAGCCACGCCTTGACCTCCGCTTCATCTAACCCGGCTTTGACGCCAGCCTGCGTCAACGCATGGTGCGAGGTGATATCCCCCTCGTTCTCAAAATAGGAAGCAAACAGCTCCTCGACCACCCGCGTTTGCGTCGCCTCCCCCTTGGTTTTGCCGAGCTGGATGAGCCGATGGGAGTCTCTGGTGTTTCCCGTGCGTCCGCCGAATTTGAATCGGATCCCCTCGGCGAGTCCCGCCTGTGCGGCTCGAGCGTGCATCATGCGTGCCCGCTCGGGGCCGAATCGCTGGTTGTAGTATTCCTGCTTGTCGATTCCGGGATTGGGCGCATTTGGGTGTAGATAGAAGGGGGACCAGGAGATCGAGAAGGTGTCGTTGGACTCTGGATGAGCCGCGCGATAGAGCTCGATGCCCTTCTCAAGTCTCTTCTTGCCAACATAGCACCACTTGTAGGCCGTTAGTAATTGACTCGCGGGCGGGGAACTAGTTAACTAGCTGTGGGACGACATACCGGGCAGACTGTGTCTGACACAACTTTGATCGCAAAGTTAGTCATTGTAACTTGCTCGTCGAAACCAATTTTCTCACTCCTCGATGGAAGACCAGAGTTCAAGCACGACTGGATTCAGGACTCCAGCCCCCAATGCAACCCCTCAATTTAATATCGCAGAGTAACGCCGTCTCGGAGTTCGGACGAAAGCTCGGACCATTGTTAATCCACCATCTCGCTCTTTGAATTTCTTCAATCAAAGATATAACTAGAGGACCTGGAACGGGATTCGAAGAGGTTGAGCACTTAAAGGCACTTCCCGAGACGACGTCACCAACCACCTCACGGCTAGTGTTAATACTATTAAAATTGGAGAACTATCAGTGAGTTGTGGATAGGGGCAGACAACGGATTTACATTCTTATATAAATGTGCCTGGTACAAAAGAGACCGACATATGTATCTCTAACTTCAGCGCTGTATACGATTCCCCCTGCTTTCAGGAAAATGTCTAGGATAGCGATTTCATCTCACAGCTTCTGCTCACTGACCACCCTCTGTGGTGCAATTGACATTCGTTCAGCCATCATGCTTATGCGTTCAAACGTCTTGATCTGATATAATTGCAGCATAACCGCAAGCGTCGACTTGAGCGACTCCATCTCTTCCATAATAATATCGATTTCAGTTTTATGAATCGGCCATTGGATAAGGAGCTTCAACATCATGGGGAATTGGCGACGGGCTGGCAATTGGAATTTGGAAAGAATAATCTCCACTTTCTCCATTGACTCCAAGCTGTCTTTAACTGTTTCGCCACACATCTCCTGCAGCTCTCCGGTGGGCATTGAAGTGCGAACGACCTCGGCGGCGGTTTTAAGAAGCCCTGAATACTGTATCAGCCTCTTTGAAAGGGCCTCTAACTCTTGAGGCGCGTTGCGTGAATCACGAAAGATAGTGCTTGACTTTAATGAAAGTGATGCGGCAAGTTCAACACACTGCAAAATGCTACTTGCAAGCCCAAGATTGGAGATGCTCATAGCAACTTGAGGCCTTTGTCGTTGAAAGAAATTTCTTGGCTTTGGTCGACTATTAGAACCTGAGTCAGGTAGGCGTGAGTGACCTTCACTTTTGTTGTGGTCAGGAATGTGCGGCGTTGTGGCTACTCTTGTCGATGGGTCCAAAAGAAGCTTTTGGGAGCCATTTTCATTTTGGTCTAGTTCTTCTTCCTCCTGAGCGGACAATACGTCCAAATCCAGAGAGCGCAAATACTCATTCATTTCACTAGCAAGAGTGTCGTGTTCAGTCTTTTCCGTTTTGGCAGTTCTAGTAATAGCATCACTTCCCCCCACAATCGCTACCTCTGAGGCGGCAGTCGATTGAAGGACTTTGCCTTTTGATATTTTTTCGAGCGGTGGAGGCGCTGTGCTGGCATCGAAATCGGTTGGAAGCGTATACGCCTTTCCGAGAGGTTGTGATGGTATGTTTGGTTTCGTTAGGAGACGCTCGTACACGAGGCTACTGAGGTCATCTACTCTGCGAAATAGACTATTTCCATCGACGATGTTCGAGTCCCAAGTGAGATAAGGCTGCATTCGATGTGCACTTCCATATGGTCCTGAAGTCTCAAGCAAGCCCCGGGGTGGGCGTGTGTGGACAGACTCTGGCTGGTTGAGGTTTCCTACAATTGACCTTAACCGTCAATATCAGGGCGCGCCGGGGGAAGAAGTTCATACTCACAGGATGCTGGTTTGTATCACGATTTTGACAAGATCAAGCTGCGCGGAGAGACACTGTCTGAACTTGTGAAGGTCATCAGCGGCCATCAAAGCCCACTGGACTTTTCTTGGAGCACTGCGAAAAGAGCCCCGCGCTGAGAGCTCGCCCATCGACTTCTCATATCGTCTGATGGTCTTTCGAAAGTCTTTGATGAGCCCCTCCACATTTATCGAGTACTGAGCAAGCTTATTGCGAAAGGAAACGGGGACGTTGGAGAGGTTGAGGCATTGGATTTCCTCCACAACCGAAAGAAAGGCTTCACATTGCTGTACCGCCAGTCGGAACTCGGTTTTGGAACCGCCTTCGTGTTGTAACGAGGAGATGACCCTCCCCGCAAAGCGCAAGAAAAGCACAATATCACTTGGAGAACAGCCGAAACTCATTGCCACTAGCTGGAGAGGATAAAGGCCACGTTGAATGTTCTAAAAAATCCGGTCCTCCTTGTGAGGGAGAGGAGCCTCGTCCGATCCATGTCTGCAAGGCTCTGGTTGGGCGAGGAGGGCGATCCAGTTGTTTTCCCCAGAAGAGGAATCAGTGCTATCGAGGCGTCAGAGCTGGGCCTCTAATTCGCAGGTCCTGAGTGCAACGGCCTCTACTAAACTGCTGGGAAACTAGCTGAAGGCGGACGATGGACATCTCGTCATCTAATTTCCCACATTATTCAATTGATCGCAGCAAGTTTCCTGAAGCTCAGTTTTCTGTTTGCAAAAGTCCCAATAGTATAGTATAATGATTCTTCTAAGAAAGATCAAGGCAGTCTAACAACGCACACGAAAAAAAGGGCATCTAGTCTGGAACAAAAGCCCTACTCCATGGTTGACTTCTGGGGCCACACAACCTTCCCTTTCGTGACCTCCTCTATGTCTTGGATGATGAGGTCCATAGGAATGAAGAACCCCATTCTCTTCCCCTTGCTGCCGCCAAAATAGACACCGGCAACCTGCCCATTGACTGAAACAAACACAAAAGATCCTGAGTCTCCTCGTTTAGCTCCAGGCTCGAATGCCCAAGCGGAAACAAGCTTGTCGTCTTGCTCAAATCGGTGCTTGATGGTTGTTTTGATACCATTGACTCGGCCACGAGCCCACCCGCTCGACCTTCCCTTCAAGTGAACGCGCATCCCGGCCCGAATGGATGGTGACCACGTGCTAGCCTCTCTTCCTTTCCAAGCCGGCTTCGTCATTGGCGCATCTCTGAGTTTCTCGCTTGTTTCGAGAGTGGAAGGGAATTGAACGAGCGCCCAGTCCATTATCCAGCTGCACCCAGCCTCATCACGAGTCCGGACTCCCGAGGATGAGAAAACGTGTCCGTGCTGTTGAGCCTGGGATTTGATATGATGAGCCAGTAGCTTGCTCTCTTCAATATACCGCTTGACTTCCCGAATTTCTGCTTCGCGAGACGGATGATTTGAATTCTGGACATCTTCCAGCTCTCCCTGTATTCTTTCTGCAATCGCCGACAATGATTCATCCACATCAACGATTGATGGAGATGATACTAGTACCTTTCTCTCTATCGAAACCTTATGAGTCAGAGAAAGGCTTTTATTTCCGGCAGTAACTTGTGGTGAAGAGTTAGTGAGCTTCTCATTCTTGTGTTCTTGGTGACCTTACCTTCTGAAAGAGTTGGATCCCGAACAACGTGGTGATTCGTTAAAGCAAACTGTATAACATCACACCCAGGAAGTTTCAATCTAATAAACCCCCCAAGAGTCCCGAACGCGGCTGTGTTTATGGGACCAATGCTACTCCCATTTTCAAGTCCATAAGGGCCACCTAAGGGACCGCGCAATACCGACGGCTCCTTTGCATTGTCGGAAGATCGGAATAGGTCATACGCTTGGGTCAATCGAACCTGCCAACCGTGGCATTGGCTTTGGATATTTGGGATGATATCGTTCCACCATGTAGCATCAGACGCATCATACGCATCAATCAACACGGTGGCAGGACACTCCGCAATGTTCGAGGCCGTGCCACAGCGGAATACGTCGATACTCTGCCAATTTCTTTCCTTCACTATTGCAAATACCTTGGACTGGTAGTCGCGTTCCCACAGTTGTAGTACAGGATCATCTTCGGTGATGCAATGCAAGGGCGCTTTCAACTGATCCACGTCTAGGAACTCGATCCTTTTGAAAATGCCTTTTCCGCCCCAACAACTTCGGATATCTGTTAGACAGTGTAGCCATGATCCGGTTCGTCCTTTGCAGTTGATTACCAACGTGCGATCGCTATCTTCTCCGGGCTCTGAGTCCAAACTGTGGCGAAACGCTAATTCAAGACTCTTAGCTTGTACTGCATGTCGATCAAGGATTCTCCACATAGAGGCTAGGCACTTTATATAAGTGAGATCTTCATCTTCCAGGTAAACAACCCCTCCACCGAGCTCCGGGTCATCCTCTGGTGAATTTCTGTAGTCACCTTCAATCAAAGTCGTTTTCAGGGGCAGAATCGGGAGAGGGCTCGGCCATCCAATACGATACGGTAGGCGGGTGTCGATATCCTGCATATCTCGGGGTCGTGGTTCTAGCAATCTTAAAATATCGGTATTCTCTATCCTTGACTTTTATCTCTCCTTCTCAACGGCACGTCTTTTGAACCTCGAGGAACATGGGGGCTGGTTAGCTCGCATTTTATACCCTGAGTGGCTGGCATTACCCGTAAGAGGATGGGCCCCCAACCTAAGGGATTGTGTTGCTACCGCGGTTTCTGCCATATCCTCCGTTTGCCTGGTGGCATATCAGCACAGGGCTGCTGTATCCTACTGTCGTAGTCATGCTGGCTCCGGATACGGCCGTCTCGTAGGGAATTCCGATGTTAAAAGACAACTTTGTAGCTCGTAATGAAAACGATTGAATGAGTAGTAGGTTGGTACTCTATCTGGTACCTGCCGCCTATTTTAAGCTCATGATACTCACACTGATCAGTTGGCTTCCTCCTGGAAGCAAACAGAGGACGAAGACATCATCCTGCTTGTTGTTTGGTAGAATTCACCATGAAAGCAGTCTGAGAACAGTCAATTTTCAATGAAAATAGCATCTTCTTTCGGGGAATGGAAGATGACCGGGCTATTGCAGTGAATCAGAGGGAAGACCGTCATGCTTCCCCTTCAAAGCCTTAAAAAACATCCAATATTGGCCACACCAAGGTGACTATATGTTTTGCCCTTTCAATAGTAGACTAGTAGTAGAGGCGCTTCAACTAATATTGCCACCTCCCAATGGATGTGTGCTAGCTTGTTCAGTTCCCTTTTTGCAAGAAAAAAAAAAGGAAATTTGTTGAATGTTCTCTGCATTGTGGCCACAAGTTAAACGGACTGGCTAGTTAGTTGATTCCAGAGTAGTCAGCTCGACCATTAGTTCAAGGTTTGCCATGACTGTGAACACTGTTGAATATATTCATCAGAGTAGCATATGACTCGGAGATAAAATGACTGCGAGATGGACTTTACTAAAGCCCGGATCAACTGAGCGGGATCTGCGCCTTTTGTAGCCCCGCCAAACCGCCAAACGCACCCCCGCGATCCCCTCGGCTTCGTAACCTGGGGACAAATTTCTCGAGTCGAGATGTCATCTGGCCCGCTGAAAATCCACTTTATGACGTGAAAGCTTCTGGATCACTAGCGGGGTTTCGCTGCTGTCAAGGTATATAAGGAAGCTCAACTCCTGCTCACGAAGAGAGGCATTGATCACGGTTGTCTTGCAGACTAAATAGAGAAATAGACCAGAATGGCTCGAATTCTTTTGACAGGTACTGTCCCCGCTTCGTCAAGTGGAACGAATTGCTAACGGTGCCGTGAGCAGGCGGAAGCGGCTTTATCGCCGCCCACGTACTTGATACTCTTCTGGAGCGAGGCCACTCGGTCGTCACGACAGTCAGGTCGGAAGAAAAGGCCCGGAGGATCAGAGAAGCACACCCAGGCGTTCCCAAGGAGAAATTAGACTTTGTGATTGTGCCTGATATCTCAAAGCCCGACGGTAAGATTCTGTCTTGTGATGGTCAAGGATTGAAAGCTGAGCGGTTCGTTTTCAATTGCTAGCATTCGACAAGGCTGTCATATCTGATCCTCCGTTTGAAATTGTGATTCACACTGCGAGCCCATTCCATTTCAGGGCCACTAATGCATATGAGGAACTATTAAAACCTGGTATATTGTTATTCATTCCCGCATGTGGCTATAACCTTTTCTAACAACGCTTATAGCCATCAATGGTACTATGGGGATCCTTCATGCTATCAAGAAAAGTGCTCCCACTGTCAAGAGAGTGGTGATAACGTCGTCCTTTGCGGCTATAATTGATACGACGAAACCACCAACTCACGTTTACTCCGAGGTAAGGTTTCCCTTCATATTTTTGCCCATGAGTATGCTAACTCAATGCCGGTAGAATGACTGGAATCAAATGACTGAAGCAGATGCGGCAACTAGTCCATTCCTGGGTTACCGTGCAAGCAAAAAATTCGCTGTATGTTCATTTCTTTTTCTATCAGGACTTCAAATGCTGACGGGGAATCTCTGATGACAGGAAAAAGCAGCTTGGGATTTTATGGAAAAGGAAAAACCAAATTTCACTCTTGCAACGGTACGAATTACGAGAGATATCAGCGCTGCAGAGCGCAGAGAGCTAACATAACTATCGTAGTGTAACCCACCACTGGTGATTGGCCCTGTGGTCCATTATCTAAGCTCCTTGGACGCAATCAACACCTCTAATGAGCGAATCCGTGATTTTATCACCGGCGCAGCAAAGCAGAGCTGTCCACCCACTGCTAGTCCCCTCTGGGTCGATGTCCGTGATATCGCGGTCGCCCATGCGCTAGCAGCCGAGAAGCCAGAAGCTGCCAATCAGCGATTTTTTATCGTTGCCGGCAAGTTCTGCAACAAAGACATGGTGGAGGTCATCTCAGACGAGTTCCCGGAACTGCGGGACAAGTTACCCCAGGGAGAAGCATTGAAGCCTGGAGAGGAAGTTGCCGCGTTTGGGTTTGATAACCGCAAATCGAAAGAGGTCCTGGGTCTATCATATCGGCCCTTTAGGGAGTCGATTGTTGATACTGTTAAGAGCCTCGAGCCTTTGCTTAGTCAAGTCGGCACGACTTCACCTATGTAAAAAGGAATATAGCTAGTTGACTGGCAAGATAAGAATGGCCGCATTTCAGAGTGGCTAGTCTCTTTTGTATGTTCTGGCTAGTTGGATGTAGAGTAGAGTTGTGATTTGCTGGAATCAACACTGGCACTTTGAATGGTTTTAAAAGGTTTCCGTAGCCACAGGGTACTTCTTCAACCACTCAGTTTTCCCAAAGCAAGCTGCCTCAGCCTCTAGAAATCGTGTGATGCTATGATTTAGCTCTGTAGCCATCAGCTTCAACAGCTACATCGTGAGTTATCCAGAAAACAGAATGAGAGTGCAGACCTTCCACTGTCATCTCTCGTCTAGCTTGCAAGGAGTAATGGTCACGGAATTCATGGACGAGAATGAGATCGTCCGGAAGCTGGGTGCCTGCTCCATTCCGCTTTGTCAACGAGGGTATCTCTTATCCACAGGAAGTATTCAATATATTAACCAGCTGGGACGGCGTATATGCAGCTTCTGTCGCCCCTCATTCTCCGAACCACCTCCTGCTGGCGCCTTGTGTTTGGGCGTATCGACGCGCCATTGGGCCCTAAGATATTACACCGGCCATAAGCGGAAAGGCTGGACAAGAAGCCATTAGTACGTACAGATATACGTCGCGGGATCGAGAGCCCGAGGTTGAACCTTGCCGGAGTGAGTAAACAGGTCGAATGCGCCCTGTGGTCGCAAGGGCCACGCGTGTGCGCGAAGACGAACAGTAGGACCGTAATTTGAGCGGAAAAGCTCCGTTGGCAATGAGGTGAACGAGCGGATAAAATAGCTCCGCATCCTGAGAAAGGATGGCAGGGGAGTAATTGTGTTTTGGAGATCCTATCAATTAATTCCTCCAACGTATCATATAACCAGAACTGCTTTTGATATTGGTCCACAAGGCGGTCACGTGACCAACCCGCGCAGACCTCCATAGCCCTCTATGGTGACGGGCAACAATGGCATTCATGCCCTTAATCTCTCTCTGACAATTGCCTTACTATGCCAATTCTGCTCCGGACTGGGTTTTCAACGGCGCCAAACACGAGATGTCTACTCCACCTAGACGACCACGCCCCAAAATAACGTGGTGGATGCGAATAAAGCACCGATTGCGATACCTTGAGAGCCCCCTAGCACTCAGAGGGTCTATCATACGTCTCCGACATCGCCACAAGCATCCATATCTAGCTCTTCTCCGTCTTTGCATGCCTACTGCAACTTTCTCTTGGTCATACCCGGTACCCACTCCCCCCTCGCCCTTGGCTCTTATCGAAAATCCAGACCTAGGCTGGGAGCGTCGATATGACAATAATATCAAAAGCCTTGAGACAGTCCCGATCTGGCGTTCCCGCGATACGCCTCTTCGGTGCCTTTATCGGCTCTACGAGGCAATCATGGGTGGAGACGAGATGCTTCCCGTCGTTGGTTATGAAACCGAGTACTTCTTTCGTCAGGGTAGAAGGGCCTGGGAGTTGCATCGCATTCCGGACCCTCGTGATCCGGACCCCATTCGCTATGCGCTTCTTGCTTGCATCTTAGAGTCACTCTTAGATTCTTTCAATTGGCGACTAAGCATTGGAATGCGGAGAGACGGAAATCACATTCCTCCGACAAATTGGGACGGCGTCAACAACCCGTATGCTCCTTATGAACCGATGACATTGCCTTCATGGCCACAGCAAGTCCCACCTGTTGACAAACAATACTTGAAAGACGTCATGCCTGAGAGGGTGATCGACTCCCAGGGACTGTTGATGCTTCATACCGACGGGAAGGATGAAATTTTTACCAAGAGAAATATTGCCGCAACGGGGCACAAATTCTGGACTATTTGATTTCTACACCCGATTATTGATCCCTGCTGGCTTTCGATGCCAACAGATAGGATCTTGTAATGGATTCAGTGCTTGTACTTGTGGTCTCTTATGACAACTAGAACCGGGGGCCCTGGTAAAACGTTGTTCATGAGTGGAAAGTCTTGAAAGCATCATCTGGACTCGGAAGTGGCTTTCACCTTTTTGAAATAAATCATATCCTGTGGTTCGAAATCCAACAGCCTCAATTTCGGTGGAATAAGACTCCTTCTCGCTCCACGTATTAAGAGAACAAACAAGATATCCAAACACCGCCCTGCCAGTAACGAGTTCAGGATTCGGAATGCTCTTCAGCTGATGTTCTATTGCGTCGGACCTCAGATCCGATCAAGTACAGTACGAACTTCATTGCCAGCTCATCCATTACACCACCTTCTTACCCCGCTTAAGACCACTCTTTCCCATTTGCCAAGATGTAACAAGGGTAACACAACGGGTATGGGGAGACGACTTCTTAGGCATCGAAATCCCTTTTCCGGCGAGGGGGGTTGATGGGCGGACGGACGACCCGATGTGAAAAAGACGGTTTCAGTTGATAGAACAACGCAATCAGCCAACACTTATGGAGAAGGGTAAGCAACTTGGCAAAGCGGACTTGGACAAAGGTTAGTCAATACCTACTGGTTTTCGCGGGTTGAAATGACTGATGCAAAGAAAGTACCTAGGACTCGCCGCGCTCGACGCTGCGATGGGAGAGGACGCCCTAATCTATGCGTTCTCGCCTATCACCATCATATCGCCGGGTGGCTACGTCGCAGTTACGTTTTTCCAAAACCGAGCGTCGACAGAAGACATTGATTTCTTTATCGACCCGGAATACGCTCGCGATCAAGACATACTGGGTGCCATTCGCAAGGCAATGCGTCAAATCGGCCGCAGCTTAGATCTTGGAGAATCATGGATCAATGATGCTGTCTCACTGTTTCTCACCCTCGACGCCCGCCGATCGCTTTTCGAGGACGCACAAAAACAGAATATCGTCCTCTGGGAAGGAGCAAACTTGAAAGTGTTAGCTGCGCCGCTGGAATGGGGTTTGGAAACCAAACTCAGGCGTCTCTCGACAAAGCCAAATCATCCGAAGACGAACACGGATATGAGTGACATTCTTGTTATTCTGAAATTCTTGAAAGACCGGGATGGAGCACCGTGAAGCGGACAGAGATCAAAGCATTGAATAGAAACGGCTTTGATGTTCCTGTCAAGGACGATGTACTAGATAAAGTCGCGGCAGAGTATCAGCAAAATTTGGCAAGGATCCTTTTAGTTGATGGAGGCGGTGATACCCTGTGCGTATAAGGATGGTTTTTGGCGCAACAAACCCTCCAGCATACGGATGAACAGTAGAAATATCACTTCTTCGCTCTCCATTGGAGAAGCCGTGGCACCCATCCCCTAGCAGTAAGGATTTGGACTCTGACCGCATCTCGCGCCTAACAGCAGCTTTTCGCCTAGTTATTATCCCCTCTCCAAGACCCCCCAGTTGCTCCGCAGATGGCATTATCATTCTCTAGCAGCCTGGATTTCTTGTCGACCAGCCTCGAGCCATCACCTGAAAGACTGAAGGAACTTTGCTTTTGTCAAAGCAATCATTTTCTCGCCCCTTCTTTGCCAAGTGGGGCGAAATTCATGAAAAAGCAAAATTACCCGTAGTATCTGACTATCGGATTATTGAGATGTCTCCTGGAGAGAGAGGGCCCCGTTGGCGATGGTGTTTGGGATGATAAGCTTGCCACGGGATCAGAGGGCAATCATCCGTCGAGAGAGGCAGTCCACTGTTGTATCAGCACCGTGAAACCATGCGCAAGCTGAGGGAGCCAGTATGGTGTTGTGATGAACAAGTGGAAAATGTGCAATGTTCTGGATGAAGAACACCAGGCCTATCTATCTATCACTTTTAGAAAATAGACCTATCCACACAACCATGCCCAAGGCTCAGGCGAGAAAATTGCTCTGGCTGCAGATGAATTCAAAAGGCATCCCCAGCAGCATCGTCAAGCACCAATCCGTCCCCCCTGAGCCGAATTGTTGCCCCAAGCATCACCTGGTCACCTTAGCCTGGGGACGTTATGAGCCCCGCTTCACAATCGGGCTAAGGAAACTCTCTCCCAACCGTCCCTTGCATGCTCGTATCCCCCGACACTCACGATGCCAGGCCAATATCTCACCTGCATGGAGGGTTTCAACCTTCAGGTTTCGCTGCCCATCGATGCAGGCTTTCCTGCTTTGAAAGCCTTTCCCATTGACCCCCAGACCCGGCTGCGGAAGCATCGACCACTCCCATCAACTCGATTCACGCCTCTGGCCTTAAGCTTCCGACGGATCAGCAGCAGTGGAGTCCTTGCCCTTGACTTGGGAACCGGCGATCCAGCGGCCCCCTAGCGGCTCGAGTCGTTGAAATGCTTTTGCGATCCATCAGAGCCGCGACCGTGAGGGTTGACTTTAAGCACGCGGCAGCTGCAGCCACCTTCCCAGCAACCTAAACCTACTCTTCGGGATTTGCGACATGAGAAAGTGAGGAGGCATACAGGTGAGGACGAGTCTCAGACGTCGAGGAGAACGGAGCGGATATGGCAGGAAGTGCCTCATTCATGTGCCGAGGGACGACGCTCCTGGTTGTACGAAACGCTCTGCAACTACAGAGTACGGAGTACGAAGTCGAGCCTGGTGTATCTCGACTGTTGCCATCTGAGGGGCTCGATTAACTCGAAGTGGTTGCGGTCTGAGCACATATACTAATGGAGATCTGTGGAGGGTTTATTTCAAGAGCCAAACCCCGAAGCGATGATTGGAGCGGGGAATTCCCGAATGCCAGGAACTGACAGGTTGCTTGATGAACAAGAATTTACGACCAGGGTAGTTCATCAGTCTCAGCCTGCGCCCAAGGAGGATTGGCTCTGCCAAAGCCTGGTTCTCTAGGGGGTCCTGGGACGTGCGTCCATGACATGATATCGGGAGTACAAAACGCGCCTCAATGCACGTTTGAGGACCCTGGATACCTACAGACGGAGGCCATACGGAGACCATAACTACGGAAGAGCAACATCCCACGCTGAATTTGCGGGTGTTCCTCCAATTCGCCATGAGCAAGCCGGCAAAACGGCCAGAACCCAAAGCCCCGGCCGATTGCTCACCGGCCAATCAACAGGGTTCAAACCCGCAATAGCCAGTGGAGCAGCTTACATGCACGACGGCGGCTTCCTGCCAACGTTTCTGGTTTTACGCTCCGTGTTCGCCTAGACGGAAACGGGCAATCGTCCCCATCCTCTATTGACGTGAGAGCATCCCTCCCAGGGCCTGAGACGATCTCCCTGGGTGTAACGGCCCGGTCTTTTAAAGATGCCGCATTCCTCCCCTCAGATCGTCCTTCGCCCTTCCAAAGGGATTCGTGATTCCCTTGTCGCTCGTTCTTCTCCTTGGGAGTCGCTCATTCAGTCTGTCGGTGTGTGGAAAGTCACAGTTCCTGGCATGCACCTGAAGTCCAGCATGGAACCAACCCCATGACAAACACCTTGGGGCTTGTTTTCGACTTTAAAACAAAATTGACCGGTCGCCATGCGCAAATTCACAATCCGGGATGTGGGGGACGATATAGGACGCCCTGATCATGACCCGGATGGTTTGGTTCTGGAGGCATGGGCTCAAGGGTTCATGGTAGGAACCTTGGTCTTCATGGCTGCCATCACCATCGCTAACATGCGGCGGCGCGTCTTGCTTCACAAACTCATTCTAGCAGAGGTAACGAGAGATTCTCCTTCCCCGCCTTGTGTCGCGACGTTTTCGGAGTTGCCGTTCTAAACGGAGAAGAGCATCTGGGGATATAAGACATGCTGACGCTGTGCAACCTTGGTAACTAGTTGATCCTCGGCATCGGGCACGGTACATTTATCTTCGCGCATGAACCTGTCTATGGCTGGTATCTCTCTTGCACCGCGATCGGATTGAATATGTCCTGGAGTCTTCATAATGTCATTGCCTGGATGAAAAACAGGCCGTTTATGAGTCGGAGAGTGTCCATGATCTATATTGGAACGGTCATCTTGGTCCAACCCTACTGGGTGCTCGAAATATACGCAAACTTCGCATTCTTCAATAATATCAATGACTTGTTCTTAAAAACCCGCCCTTGGGAGCCTCTTTTCCGGTGAGATACTATTCTTTTCTTTCACTTTATACCAAGACGGGATCACTCAAGGATAATTGTGATAGGGATCCTTGGTGGATATACACTACGTGTAACCTGTTCTGGGTTATCAAATCCCAATATGATTTTAAGATCGTTGAGCTGTTACGGAATGGCCCACGATTCGGCGTGATGCTAGTTGCCATGTGCATTTCTATCGTTTTTATCCTCCTCGACACGTTGAGTGTTCTGCGTGTTCTTAAAGGAGCATTGCCTACCGGCATCAATCCATTCTGGAAAGTAAGCTCAACCCAGCCCAATATTTTAAGCATTGCTGGTCACAGACACTCATAATACTCGTACCAGTTATCCTTTGTTTTTAAATGTCTTTGCGATGCTGTCGTGCTTGATGACTTCAAAACGGCACTCGATCGGCTTCGAGATTACTGGCTGGAGAAGAACGGGGTAGACGTGGACGAGAACTCAGATCGACAGCCAACCGGCACAAACCCGCCAGGCACCCCGGCGAGTAGATCGAGGTTCTGGCGAAATTCTGCAGGAATCATAGAACCACTCGAGTTGAAACGGCAGCAGAAGGCGGAGGATATGAACTGTGGAAGTTCAAGCTTCAGTAATGAGAACCGCGTCAGCCCATTCCGGCATGTATGACTTTTGCGGCCTTCATCGCGACGATTGTATATGTATGAAATTATTGCGATATGTATATATAATTAATAATCGGTAAGGGTTTTCAGCTTCCGAAAGAGAATTGATTCAACTATGGATTTATCTGATAACCATTTCACTGATGACCACAATGGAGCAGGTTGTTTGTATGCCTAACTTATTATCAACCTTCAACATCTTCCACTGAGGAACAGCAACCGAAAAGGCCAATCTGCCACATATCCTGGCAATTTCGCATCTTATAGATCATGACGGTAAGGACAGATTCGCTTCTTTCGATGAGTTAGCCTCGACTCCAGCACAACGCACATGGGAATCTATCCGTCCCTCGGTACTTACTTGCGGGTAGAAGCTATGGCTTTTACTTCAAAGCTCGCGAAGAGTGGCCCAGTTCTCGGAGATACCCGCCGGCCCATAGATCACCTCCTCCTTTGGCGTTCCGGGGCCGTATCGGAAGCGAACGTACTTGGTTCCACGGAACGCATACACTTCCACGTCGGTGTTGCTGTTGGAGTTAGGAACAAAAGCGTCCACCTCGTCGAAACCGGCGTCCCGAAGGATCTTCCATTCGTCTGTGATTTTGGCTGGTCCAAACACTACTTCTTCCTTTGGTGTGCCGGGGGTGTATCTGACGCGGATGTACTTGGTGCCACTGAAGAAGTAGGCTTCTTCCTCATACTCGGGCTTTGTGGACGGAATGGGGATGACAGCGTCGACCTTGTTAAATCCAGCGTCACGAAGTGATTTCCATTCATCCACGATGTTCGCGGGGCCGAAGATCTTGGATTCTTCTGGTGTCCCGGGGACGAAGCTGAAGCGGACATAGCGGTTTCCGCTGAAAGCGTACACCTTCTGGGGATTTTTGACGGACGGGAGCATTGCATCTACGGAGCTGAATCCGGCGTCGCGAATGACCTTCCATTCATTCGTGATGGTGGCGGGGCCAAACACCTTACGCTCCTCAGGTGTTCCGGGCTTCCACCACATGCGGAGGTATCGAGATCCCTTGAAGAAATATCCTTCATCGGGGTATCCTGGGGTGCGGAAGGCGGCTTGAATGCTGACCATTGTGGGAGCGGGGGAATCGATTAAGAGCTTGATAAGAGTATGGCAAGAGTCAGGTAGACAAGATCGGTGCAAGTGAGTTTGAAATTGAAAAGCAGGCCTTGATATCGAGCTGACCCAGGCTTTATGTATTCCAGCCGGTTCGAGGGATTGCCTTCGCCCCCTCATCTATGTCGCATTCCCTACACCATATCGACGTGGACATTTCGAGGAATCCTTGATCAGTCGGCCCCACACCGTGAATACGGACAACGGAAGATCCTGAGGAGGCTGGCTGACCTTGTTCTAACGGTTGCGTTTGATAGCCGCCACGAATTGAAATCCCAACTTTTTTCCGGGCCGTTAACAGCGCTGGACCGGTTGATCCACAGACAACGCAATTCACCACCGACGAAACTGGAGATGATAACTTGAAGAATTTTCAGCATCGTGAGAAACCTGATTAAAACGACTTGAAAGGATGCAGTTTTCCCACTCGGATGTATTTCCAATCGGGCGGGAACCACCGCTGCTTGCCACACCTTATCGGGTCTGGGATCCCTTCATCGGCTCCAGTTGAACTGGTTTCGTGCCCTATTGCTAGACCCTCCGGGCCTTGAAAGCCTTGATCAAGGTACCTGTTATCGATCCTGGCTCCCAGCGCTTGCCTTTTACTCCTATCCAAAGACAAGGTGCGGGTGAAAGAGGAGTCAACGCACCCCTCAAAGCCGCGATATTCCCTCCGTGACCATCATGACCGTGAGCTCCAAGCAAGTTCCGCTTACTTGCCGGATGGATCTCTGCCGCGAAATCGACTATGAGTCGATCGATGATTTCTCGCCTCAAGTTTATGGCATCAATGCAGATCGATCGTCCTGGATTCAATTTTGAATTCATAATGCTGCGAGAGTCAGGACAGCCACAGCCCGGGTATCAGTTGTTGCCATCACGAAACCTGTTTTGGCTGGCTGGGACGGCAGTCGTCTTCCGAGCCGTTTGAGGTTTCGTAAAACCTGCCGCGTTGATAACGGAGATGTTTGATATCGTTAGTTTTCTTATTTGTGGGAAATTTCAATTCAGACCTCTGGCATCAGTCAAAACCATCTCCTCAATCCTGGCGTGGTCTGAGCACTCGGCCGTTGCCCGTCTGAACCACGCCTAATCGGTATGGGAGTCATCCACCTGTACGGAGGATAGGAGCAGATTGGTCTAGATGGTAGATTGAACATCGTTGCATCCATATGACCGAGATATCGCCTTTGGTGGATGGCATTGCTTGTAAGATCCCGACCTGTATGGCCTTGCAGGGATACATGCGAACTGAGAAAAGCTTCCCCATCTGCTGCATCTAGTCAAGTCATTCAATACCCCTGTCCTTTGGACACACAGGCCTTTTACAAGCCATGAATTTGCTTAAACCCAATGGGAGTCGCAGGATCCGTCCTGTTTGGGCTGCTCCATCCCGGCAGGAAAAGTGTTTTGATGGATCGTGTACTCTGGACACGTACTTCTGTTAATGTTCCTTGACACAAATATACATCGACATGCACCCAAAACCGTCCAATGCTGTTCAATGTCATCCGATTGAGTGGTAGCTTCGTTCGTCTCGGCCCTGCAACATCTGAGTGGCCTTCTCCACGGCTGCACGTCGGAATAATTCGTGCCCATCTAGCCATCCTACCTGGATATGTTCTTGACTACCAAAACAAGCCCCGAGTTTGCCTCCTCACCACCACCGTTCATGGAAATCTGCTTGACTTCGTTCATGGGTGGGCCTCTATTGCCTAGAATGCAACCCGAGATTTCGTCAGCAATTGCCCCTTTTGATCCCAATTAGCGAGAGATGGCCACCGAACTGTACCACTGGCAGGTTCCTTCTGTGGACGTATGCATTATTCCATCTCGACACGGAGGCTACCATGGTAACCATGGATTTTAACATTGTGGGAACGGGTATGGCTGTGCTGTTCCCGACTTATCTCGAAGCCGCAAGTTCCATCACTTTGAATTTCCCAACCTAAAGGAGCCGATTGCCACAGATGGCTTGGGCCTAATTGCGCACTGTCTACTTCTCTTCGGAGCATGTGAAAGCATCAGCTGGCTTGCAGGATTGCGACTTCAAAGACAACTAAAAACAAGAGAGCTTCAAGCAGGATCGATATGGTGTAGCCTATGGGGATCGTCCGTTCAACGTTGCCTTCAATTGAGATCTATCACGGCTAATGCCGATCGACTTGGACAAAGCGCAGCTGGTGCACCTGGCGTAGGTTCAAAGGCGTGTATGAGTACGCGTTGACGACAAGCCGCACGACTAGATTCGTGATCGATGGGGTCTTGATTGAAGTCCGCCAAAAGCAGACAAACGTCACCCCATCATGCACTGCAACAATGCGGTATACCAGCTTTGGTTAGTGACGACGATAGAATGGATTGATTGCCACTTCAGGGGGGTATCAAGGGGCAAATCATCTAGGTATTGAGCCCGGAGCTCTGGGGTATAAGGGTTAGCTGACTTCTCATAATATTTATAATAATAGGAATGTCCATTTAGTTAACTCTGAGTTGGGAAGACCTAGTTAGCAATATCAAGAAGCGCATCCTAACGGGCCAGGCCCTTCTCGCTGGTATGAGCTCGCAGTTGAGGAACGGGACCATCCAGCGCAAGGCTAGTGTTTTTCACCTGTAGTTAGCCATGATCGTGGCTGTGGTGTTATTCAATCAAGGCAGACGCAGTGCTGTCTTTTGATGTTGTTTTGAGATCCTTTTCCTATCCGCGATATTCACACACACTGTATCGTGAGATGTGCATGTACAAGGTCTCTATTTCAAGACAACTTGAATTGGACAACAGTAACATGTCCCACACATGATGCTGCTTTCTGTTGGCTGGCATCCCTGGCCTCTCCGGGCCCGTCGGCTAGGATTCATCAGCTTTCCGACGATCAGATTATTCGGACGGCAGATCATGATCTTGAATTGACTTGATCATTGCTGCCTCGTCTTGCCTTTTTTTTTATTTTGAAATTTGTGCGGATCCGAACTGCTTCGTTTACCATCATGTATATCCCGCCTGTACACGCAGAAGAGCGTCTCTCTGTGCTCCACCAGATAATCCGCGACAACCCATTAGGCATATTGACCACAGCCATCGAGTCTCCCAATCACCCCCTCATCCTATCCAGCCATATTCCATTCCTTCTCGACGTACCCGAAACCGCAGACGGCACACTCCCCAACGGCATATTGCGCGGACACCTCGCGCGGCAGAACCCGCAATCAAAGGTCCTCACCGAAGCGCTCGCCGCAGCCGCCAGAAGCGAGCACGGCCCACACGCCCTGGAGCTCCCCGGCGAAGTGCTCGTCGTGTTCAACGGGCCGCACCAGCACTACGTGACGCCCAAGTTCTACACCGAAACCAAGCCCCGGACCGGCAAAGTCGCGCCGACGTGGAACTACTCCGCGGTGCAGGCGTATGGCCGGATCACGGTCTACAGCGACTCCGGGTCCGCGGAGACGCAGGCGTTCTTGCAGAAGCAGCTGGAGGACCTGACGCTGCTGGGGGAGAAGGAGGTGATGGGATTCACGGAGCCGTGGGAGGTGGGGGATGCGCCGGAGTCGTGGGTGCGGATCTTCAAGAAGCTGATTGTTGGAGTGGAGATTCGGATTGAGCGGCTGCAGGGGAAGGTTAAGATGAGCCAGGAACTGCCGAGGGGGGATCGCGAGGGCGTGATCGAGGGGTTTGAGAGGATGGACACGGAGGCTGGGAAGGGGATCGCCAGGGCGGTTCGAGAGTGTGGTGAGGAATGATGCTAGTTACATGGGATAGTGGGATATCGAATAGACCGTTAGTTAGTTATAGTTGAAGCCGATAGCAGAGGAATCCCCGCCAATTGTATATACGATCCTGCAGCTTGCAACTCGGACAACGGTTCTTAAACTAACTAGTTACTACACAAGGAATATGTCTGGACTCAAGCAACCGGCAACTCGCGCGCTGCACGCCGACAACCCGCTGAACCTGGTGGCGGACGTCGCACCGCCCATCCACCTGTCCACGACGTTCAGATTCGCCGACGACCCGGACAAACTGATCCCCAGCGAGGATCCGGTGGTAACTGTGCATCTTCCCACGGCCACCACGCAGCGGCTAACCCTGCGCCCCAGGCAGACTTTGATGGCAGAAGCTACGTCTACTCGCGCGAATTCGCTCCCAATGCGACGCGGTTCGAGGCCATCCTCTCGTCGCTGCTCAACGGGCATGCCGTGAGCTACTCGTCCGGTCTCGCCGCGGTGCACGCCGCCCTGGTGCTGCTGAACCCGCGCCGCATCTCAGTCGGCGACGGCTACCATGGCTGCCACGAGGTGATCAGCGTCGTCTCCCGCCTGTCCGGCCTCCAGAAGCTTGCGCTCGACTGTCCCGCCGAGAGCCTCGGTGAGGGCGATGTCATCCTGCTCGAAACCCCCGTCAACCCGCTCGGGACCGCGTTCAGCATTGCGGAATACGCCCAAAAGGCCCACGCGAGAGGCGCCTATCTGATCGTGGACAGCACGTTTGCGCCGCCTGGGCTGCAAGACCCGTTCCTCTGGGGCGCGGATCTGGTGATGCACTCGGGGTCCAAGTATTTCGGCGGCCATAGCGACCTCCTATGCGGCGTGCTCGCGACCCAGCGCCAGGACTGGGCCAAGCGTCTGTTCGAGGACCGGGTGGCGCTTGGAAATGTCGTTGGGAGTCTGGAGGGCTGGCTGGGTGTCCGCAGCCTGCGAACGTTGGAAATCCGGGTGCAGCGCGCAAGTCAGAACTGCGCGCACCTGGTCTCGTGGCTCCAGGGCGCGCTGATAGCATCGTCTCCCGCCCAGGGGAGCGAAGAACGGATCGTGCAGACTGTGCTGCAGAGGATATATCACGCCAGCCTGCAGGACGAGCCCTGGTTGCTACAGCAGATGCCGAATGGCTTTGGGCCCGTGTTCTCCATCGTCCTGCAGAGCGAGACGTTTGCGCGCACGCTGCCCAGCAGGCTCGCCTTCTTCCACCACGCAACCAGCCTCGGCGGAGTGGAATCTCTGATCGAATGGCGCGCCATGTCGGATTCCAGGGTGGATCGGAAGCTGCTACGGGTCAGCGTGGGCATAGAGAACTGGCAGGACTTGAAGGACGACCTGCTCCAGGCATTCCGGTCGCTGGCCGGGAGCAGTGATTAGACGTAAACATATTTAGTTAGAGCTGCAGTTGTGATAGATAGCATCAATGAATTGGTAGAGATCTCTCCTGCAGCTGTTTAGGCGACCAGCATAAAGAACATCCAAACCCGCCAGAACACCCTGATCAAAGACTGCAGCCGTTTCGTTCAGTCGAGAGAGCCAGAGATGGATTGATCGATTCCATGAGGCCGTCTCCCCAATCACGCCCAGCCACACGCAGCGATCCAACTTCTCCCAAGCAACCCGCGTGTTTGAAGTCAATTCCCGCGGTTCTCCTTCGTTTTGGCTACTTTTTTTTTCTTCTTTTTTCTTTTTTATTTACTTACATCTGAGATTCTGCGGGCAGACGAATTCGATACGCTTCTCCAGTCTAGATTCTTTGATGCTACGGCCCTGAAGATGCAGGGGACCAGCCCGCCAGTTTGCTAAACCGCTGTTCGTACGACTTCGCATGCGCCCTGGACCGTCGCTGCGAGATCGCATCCGCCATGCGCCTGGACGCGGCCTCTTCTTCGTCCACTGCCCTCGCCCTGACTTCGCTGCCCCAGCACGACCGGACATGCCATCGCTCTCGCAGTCGAACCGACCCCGTCGCCAGAGACCCGCCCCCGTCGCGCCCCAGGAACCGTCGCTCCGTCGACTTCGCGTCTCCAGCCCAGAGACACAAGCCGTCCGCCTCCCTCCAGCTCACCACGGCCTCTGCCCTCAGCTCTGAAGGCTTCTCCAACCCTGCTCTCGCCGGCTTCTCGCCTCGCAAGATCGCCGCCCTCAAGGCTGGCTCGCGGCCCGGACCGTCGTCCTCCTCGATCCCGACGCTCTTGCTCCAGACACCCCGGACTGCCCGTGACGTGGACCTGCAATCCCAGTCGTCGGCCACATTCCACACTCCTCTGTCTCCCGGGACGCTTCCCAGCGCTGCGTCGTCTACCGTGTCCCCGTCGGAGAGCCTGTATCCGATCTCCCCCAGCGACTCGAGACCGTCGTATCAGAAACGCGCCCCGGCGTCTCGGAGCAGCTTGGGCATTGAAACGGCCACCGGGCCGCCTCCTGCACTAAGCACACAACGGAGTCTGGCGCAAGAACGTCACACACACTCGAATCTGGAGTATCCCAACAGACCGCGCTCCTTTGGCCTGGCCTCCACGCGAGATTCTGGCTCCAAAACCAGTTCGGTCACTGCTGTGGATGTAGGGATGAGGGCGGAGCTACCAACCGCATCCATCCTGAAACGGTCATCGCTGCCGACCCGCACGGTCTATCCGCCGCAGCAGAAGGAGAGGCCGAAAAGCTCGCGGGTATCGCGAGCGGAGGCCACGTTTCCAGACGACGAGGATGAAGACTTGACGGCGCGAATTGACACACACGCTGATGCGAGCAGCAAAGACTCGGACGACAGCAGGCAGAAGAGTGAAGACGTGTTTTTGAATATTGCCCAGTCGGCCTCAAATAGACGCAGTACGAGACCGCAAAAGGTAAGCCATTCATACTCACCATGGTCTCGTCTTGATTCCGATTTACTGACCTACATTCTGCCTCTAGTCAAGATCTGGCCTCCCTGGCCTCTCTTCGCGGCTGCGAACGAACGAGGAGACGCCGTCTCCGGAACGACATGCCTATGCATCTCAAGATATGTCTCCCCGGGGCGGCTACGGCAATGGCATCATGAGATCTCCGGCATCGAGCCATCCCCTGGATGAGCCGAGCCGTCTGAAATACCTTGGATCTACTACGAGATCAACAATTGGCCTGCCCCGGAGCAGATTCGGTCGCACAAACCGTGAACTATCACCCGAATCCTCGGAGAACCACACGACGGAGCGGAGAGGCTCTGCCCAAGATGCCTTTCAGTTACGTGCCCATCGACACTCCACCATCCCCAGTAGTCGAACACACCGTGCATACTCGAATTCTGACGGGACAGACCGGCCCAAATTGGACGCGGAGCGATCTCGATACGACGGCACCGAGTCGACTCTGTCCACGACTGCCCCATCCACCGTCTGGGACGAATTGGACGATCTGAAATCAAGAATACGGAAGTTGGAGCTCACCGGGAAACTGCCCGCGTCGTCAGCAGCGGCAATGTCAACGGTATCAGGAGAGCGGCCACGCACGGCCACCACCACGGTGACTACACTTTCGTCCTCGCCAAAGCATGGGCGGAAAACCAGCGCATCGCCCAAGACTGGCGATACGGCGGCAGTAGATGCTCAAATTCAGTCATTACTTCGTGCCGGACTGGCCAAGGCGAGAGCGACGCTGAGCCCTGAAATCTACTCTACACTCGAGGCTACGGCAAATGATGCTTTAACGCTGGCCGCCATGTTTGGTTCAAACACACAGCAGTTGGGAAGCAGCAGCATGTCGGTGATTAGCACCACCACTGGCGGCGACCGGCAGTTCAAACGAAAGATCGACAGCATGTGTCGGAGTCTTACTGAGCTTTGTATCGCGCTGGCGGATCAGAAGCTTATTGCACTGTCAAAGAATCGCCCTGGAAGCAGTGATGCGACTTCTAGCATTCCACATATCAACGGCGCAGATGTTGCACCCAGCACGGCGGCAACGAATTATCGACGAAGCGCGAGTCATGAGCCCGAAGATCTCAACCGTCAAGGTAGTTCTTTTGGACGAGCGCTGGCCGGTAGTCGGTTAGACGGGCGCCGATCAAGTATGCTTAATCTGACCTCTGGCAGTTCTACCGTGCGAAGCTCGCAGGAAGCTTCCGAGTCTCAAGTTACATTAAAACCATCGACACCGGCCAGCCGGATCGGACGGTCATCGACCACAGCGCTGCGCAGTAGGAGGCAGGAGGACGAAGACGCCATGGACAAGGCGTCAATCGTGAACCGGCCCCTCTCACGCGTATTCACAGACGCTCCCGACTCCAAAGGCCGGGCATCGCTCTTAACCCGCTCGTCCCGCGAATTTAATCCTCCTCACGACTTCCAATCCCACAAAGACCAGCACCTACCGCCCCAGCAACGAACGCCTCAACCCTCCCGAACCTCCAATGCGCCCAGCCAGTCCGCAATCCCCCTCCGCCGCAGCTATCTCTCCTCCGGCTCCCACCTCTCGGCCACATCGCACTTCAACATCCAGCCCGGCTACCGCAGATACGGCAGCTCCGTGATCAATTCCGGCGCGACGCCACAGCTCGATGGGCGCAGGGCGGCTGCGAATGAGGGTGAGACGGCGAGCTCGCCGCTGACCGCGACGGGGACGGCGGGGGGGAGGACGGCGTCGCATTTTAGTAGCATGCAGCAGCTGAGGCCGAGGACGAATAGTTTTGGGACGAGGCGGTTGAGTCTGCGGCGGGCGGCGGAGAGTGCGGCGGACGGGACCTGATTCTGGGGGCTGGCCAACGGTTCTCGGTGCCCGTGTTTGGGGCTGGAGAGTTGGGGTTTTCGGGAATGGGAGTACAACGCGCGGGGGTGAAACTAAGGACATATCTGTTGGGCTCTTGATCTGGCGCCGATAAGGGAGTTTTTGGAGAGCATCCTACTGGATGGGGGATATTGTCTGGCTCTCAGACGTCCTCGTGTCTTGTACTCTGGGGACTTGATTTCCCCCCTGTTTCTCTCCCTCTGATGAAATGTCTATTGGGCTTAGCGAGTTCTCGACAGGAGTTTTTTTTTTTCTGTTTTGTTCTGTTGACTTTCCCCTTTTGCTATTTACTTTTATATTGAAAGAACCGCCGATACAAGGGCGTTGGATCTCCTGCTCGTTTTGTTTTTATTCCTTTCTTGTCTTTGTCTTTCTAAAAATCCCCTTTTTAGTTCGATCCCTTGGAAAGCATTCCCTTTTTCTGGCTTTTTCTTCCGGGCATGTTCCAGGGAGTATAAAAACAGCTGCTCTATTTTTCTTTCTTGGTTTCCTCCTTTTTTCTTTTCGCCTTTGGTTGTTGTCACTGTCTCATTCATAACTGCATAAGGGAGTAATCCCCATTTATCTTGTGTACATAGATACATATTACATAGCTAGCTATCTTCCTTTTTTGCCGGCTTTTACCGTTTCCCGTTTCATCCCCGGCATTTCCTCTAGTCTGTTACGGGATGTTTTTTCCAATTTCCCTTCCGGCAAAGAGGGGGGCGCGGCGGGAGAGAGGCGGTCATCTGGCGTTTCTACCAGAAAAATGTGTTTGGGGCATGGTATAAGCTTGCCGAGTGGTTGTCTTTCTCGGCTGCATGTTTTGGGAAGGCGAGTTCGAGAAGGTTAAACGGCTTTTTTTGATATCATATAAAAACCATATTACTATCACTACTACCTCGTGAGCGAGGTCCTGCTTGGCGATGATCCGCATGTTGGCTTGATGCATATTTGTATAGAAGTAAATTCCGTGTTTGCAGGTCTTGTAGTTGAACTGTGGGGCTGTAGATGTATGCTGGAGATATCGAAGAAATGTAATACTGTAGTGAGTATCATTCAACGCGCCAAAGAATTGCCAAACCGCTACCGGATACTACGCTTGAAGAGAAGACTGCTGATTGATGCCCAGACATGACTCGCAAATCCCGCTTGGCAATGCATCGTCAGCCGCGCAGTTGAATTTGAACGCAGATGAGCTCATCTCCCGGAAGCCAAGCCTGGCTTGCTGCGGATAAAACCTTCGTGGGAGTTTTAACCACGAGGAGGTCTGATTGCGGAGAGGCAAGAATGATGGAGAACAAAGGCATGGGGTAGCATCCCACGTGTGATGGCCTCAGGAGTGTTTTGGCGAAAGCAAACGTTAGGTGCAGCACTTGGAGCCGGACGCACATCCTAGTCCCTTTGATGTCATGTTTGCGCGCTGGAGGAAGATTATTGAAGGCGCTCCTCTCAACAGAAAGAAGAAAACAGCGCAACCCTGAAGCTTGCTGCCTCATAAGGCAACCGAGTCAAGCGTGTTTCAGGCTGGGAGCACGTCATCATCTGCGCTTCCTGCTGCCCAAGGTGGTCACGGGTCATAGGGGGAAAGGGCGAAATTCCGTCCATGTATGTATTTTGGCATTTTTTGTTTGGTTGTGTGCAGGTTCTGCAGGACAGGTGAGCCACGTGGCGGTTGCAGTCTTTGTGCGAGCACTGAGCACGACACTGTCTGATCAAAGGCATAGAGGGAAGAAAGGGGAGGAGGGATGGTTGGGCGCATCCCGGGGGAAGCATTGGTGCACATGTGTTGATGGAGACAAGCTCTGATCGGTGACTTGCATGAGAGATCCAAGGGAGCAGGCCTCATTTGCTCTGGGGCGAGCTTGTTTCTGCCAGTGTCCGAGAACCGGGTTCAGCGTTGTTCGAGAGCTTGTCTCTTTTTCTATTTTTTCATCTTTTTTCCCGCTTTGCTTTTGCGATGTCTTGCTCTCTGCTGGGGGAATTGAGGCGCTTGTCGTCGACGTCATGTCTCAATTGGATGTGGAGGAACAGCTGCGAGCTGAGGTGGACGTTTCGCCCAGGATGAATGAGTTGCTGAGCCAGAGACAGAGACGCGTTGACTGCGAGTTCCTCGAGTTGGAGATGGAACATCATCGTCATCACCGTCATGTGCGTGGAAGAGATGGCGATGGTGTGTTTCAGAGTCAGATCGTGTTGCTGCCAAGTCCGCCACGGATCCCCCCGTTTTGATGCTTTTTTTTTTTCTCGCAGGCTGAAACGCTAGTGCAGGAAGCTGGGCGTGCTATTTATATCTCCAGACGAGAAGGATGCAAGTGACACATGCAGTTGCGGGTGGTTTATGCGGGAGAGAAGGGGACTCGGAGAAAGGAGGCATGACAAAGGGGGAGGATGCAGAGGGCTTGGGCACAAGGCTGAGGGCAAGACAGAGAGAGACAGAGAGAGAGAGAGAGAAAGAGAGAGAGAGAGAGAGAGCGCAAAAAGGGAGCATGAGGATAAGAATAACAATGGAAGCTTCAAAGCGGGTATGCCTTTGTTCGGTGATCCTGCATCCCTGAGCACCCGGAAGGCTTCCAGAATGGAATCCCCAGGATGAGCGCAGACATTATCTGAGCCCTACTGTTCTCATCTCGTCTTCTTCTCTTCTTCTTCTTCTTCTTCTTCTTCTTCTTCTTCTTCTTCTTCTTCTTCTTCTTCTTCTCTTCTCTCTGTCTCTGCTCTTTTCATCTCATCTCACTGTGTCTCTCGCGTGAGAATACCGTCACAGGCCTGTAATACCGCCCCGTATCCAGCGGGACAGACCGTCGAATACAGCCAATGGCCGAGGGCTGTGGGGCCCGTCGAGCTCCAGCCGGCGATTGGCGGCTCGCCATTGGCTGCAGGGATTTCCCGTCCAAGCGCTGCGGGCTGGCCGGCCGGCGTGTGATTGGTGGCCATGGCTCGTATTCGATACAAGGGGTTTCGTGCCGTGACAGGCATACGATCCACGGTAATCTATGAAACAGCAGCAACGCCAGGGGACGAGCGACGAACTGAGCGCGGAGAATGCAGGCTGGGAAGAAGAGGAAGACGGGATGGGAAGAAGAGAACAGGAGGAGAGAGGAAGAAGCACACGCAATAGAAGGAAAAAAGAAGAAGAGAATCAACAGAAGCCAGCTGTTTGCCAGGGCCGGCTGCTTCTGCTGATCTGGTCGGTGGCTGTACCCCACTCAACCCTGTCTGTCTTGCTCTCTGTCTCTGAATCTCTCT